GTTTTTACACCTCATAGGATTTGGAACGTAGTCAAAAGCGTTGGATAGCGGTCAAAAGTCAAAATAAGACTTCCTGTAGGGGAGCGTCATCATTTAATTTGGTGAACTTATAGACTTCAGTCACTCCTTGGCTGCCCATTTCGCAAACAATTTCATCTTCCGGCACATGCTTTAAGCATGGGGCATAAACTACGCCTTTAACCGAGTTCAGTTTGTCATGCAGTTTAGCGGATATAGCACATAAATTAGCTAATGATTATGATTTTATGAGCTTTTCGGTTGCGCGCGGATTCCCAGCGAGGACAAGCAAATTATATCTATATATGTTGTAATGCTATCTAGTGCTTTTTTAATAGCAAAAGGGCTGATTTGCGAAATTGTTATGGAAGGATCAATTGGAGAAATCACAGCATATTTTTTGTCAATAGGAATGATGCTAATGGTTGGCAACACCGGAATGTCGGAATTTTTAATTTTTTTTCTTTAGGGGGATACGTCCGCTAATAGATAAAATCTATTTGAGTTTTTATCTGGCGGCCCCGACGTCATTATGCCTTATGATTGTCTATTATTTAGCAAATTGTGAAATAACCACTCACTTGAAAAGGTTTGGGAGCTGCTGAGGATAATGTCAAATGTTTTCACTATTTTATTTTTATTTTTCTTTTATGTTCTTTGTTTTTTTTGATTTTTTTTTTTTTTATATTTACAGAAAACAAAAGCAAATATGGTATCTGCGATAATCAGTTTTTGCAAAAACACAGAAAACGCACGAGTTAATCGCACAAAAACAACGAAAACAATTAAAAAGTCGCAAACGAAAAAGAAAACACGCACTACTTAGAACACAAGTCTTCCTCCCCAATTTGCAGTTGTGCACAAACTCTCACTACAAAGCAAATTCTCGGCGACTGCCCTAACTTTTCCTTCGGTAGAAGTATTGCATTTGGAACGATTAACCCTTTGGACAGTCTAAAATCAGCTTCAGAAAAGATTATCAATGCAATATTTTACTTTATTAAAACTACTAGACTCAATATCTAATACACAGTTATATAAATTAGAGCCTGTGTTGCTAGTGTTCAATATCTTTATTTTTAGACTAAGAATTTATTTCATTAGTCTAAAATTATAATAATAATAATAATGATAGTAATAAAATGCTTTCTGATTCTAAAATTTTTTATAACCTTGTCGACTCGAAGCGCTCCGCGTTACGAGAATTGAGAAGCGTCAAAGGATCTTGAGGTAGTCAAACTCTTCGCACAAGTCTTTCAAAAGTTCTATTACTACTACATCGTCTAACATATATCCTCATCATATTAAATTATTCGATATTTTTAGATCCATTTCGTTATCTGAATGGGAATTTTTTCTGCATTGTCTACTTCCGAGTTCAGTTGTCTCCCGGCTCCTGATGGTATTCCATCTTGTGTTCTCAGGAATCGTGCGGATATGTTTTGTGCTTCCTTAATGTAGGTTTTTAACAACTGCCTGAAAGTTAGTTACTTTGGTTATTTTTTCTTAGTATGTGAAACCAGTTTTAATATTCCTTTGTACAAGAATGATTCTAGAGACAAATAATTATACAGCACTGCCAAAATCAGTGTTCTACCTTAATTATTGGAACCTGTATTGCCTACGAGACTAGCACCGGCAATAAGGTCAGCTATCAACATCTCAACATGGCTTCATTAAAGGCAGATTAACTTATTGGAACAGTATGTCATGTAATTTAAACAAATGCGAAAGAATGTCATTCTCTTGGGTCATGGGAATGTCATTCTGCCTACGTATTAATAATTATGTGCTGGAAAATAGATCTTCTTGCCTATTAAACTTTGACGACTTTAATGCTTCGAATCGGTGTTCAAGACACTATATTCTCTTGAAATTCTCTCATTGCCGCACTAACTAGGCTTTACAACTGGAATTATTACCAGTTTGATCAGTTTACTGATTCTATTCATACAATTATAAATAAACTGATATTATAATGCATTTAGTTACAAATTGAAAATTGTGGGATATAATAAACTGTGTTTGTCATCCTCGGTCGTGTAATTTGTAACATGTGGTTGTATCATGTAAGTGTTGTTACAGATAAAACGGTGTAATAACTGAGTTTGCTAATTTCATTCGTGGAGTGAGGAATGAAGTTTAGAAAAAAAATGAAAAGTAAAAAAAAGGTTATCTTCAATTCGTGTGTTTGTGATAAACTTTATTTACAACGCCGCGAAAACAAATTGATTAAAACTCTTAAAAACTTGTTTCAAATTTGGATATTAATTTTGCTTGTTATAATTGCCAATTGAACACTGTACAAAAATACTGGAGGCCATTTAGAGATTACACAAATTACACAAGTTATTACAAAAATTTTTAATAAACTTTAACAGCTGTATATATGTAAATGTTAAAATATTGAATGAATTAAGAGACGAGATATTAAAAGGAAAGATTTTCATTCGCATTTCATTCACACTTGATACAACACGTCATCTCTGCAAGCGGCAGCTTGATAATTTTTGCGTTTTACCGGTGTTAGTGAAAAAAAAAAAAAAAGAATATAAATATTTGGAAAAACAAAAAGAGTAATAAAACAACCAAAGAAAACAATTTTAAAAGCAGAAAAAGAGGAGCGATCTCTCGTGAGAGAAAAATTAAAAGCAATACATATATTAAATCTATTGTTTTTTCGTTGTGACTTTTTCTTTTGGTGCTCCCCGTGATAACAACCAAAACAACAGCCCGTCTCCCTATGGAGACTGGGTCTGGTTTCATAACTACTGATAGAGACTGTTTTGGAGATTTCTACATGAACGCTACTGGGCACACCAAGAGATAGAGGATGGGTGAGAATAAAATTCTTTTATCTGCTAACGGAGAAGCTAACGCAAACATTTTAATTGCGCCTAGGCTATCGACAAGCCCTCTGCTTTGGGTGCCACAGCCGCCCCAAATCTCGAGATCAATTTGTACGATTCCCTTTCAAAGTGCAATTTTGATGTTTTTGTCGAAACGTGCGCAGACGCAGAAAGAAATCGCATCAATATTAACTTTAATTTCTATTTTTATGATTACTTGAAGGAATTCAACATGTACGGCTTACAAGAATCACAAGTCGTCAGCAGGAGCAGAGCCAAACTGCTTTTCAGCTCTGCTGCCAATGCCAACAATTTTGTTACGAATAATGAATTTACTAAAAAGAATTTAAAGGCGTACATACCGAGGTCTTTCACTGAAAGATTTGGAGTCATTCGAAAAATCCCATGCACATACAATGTCGATGATATAATTAAAAACGCCGTATCCGATATTCCGATGAAGTCCGCTGTCCGTTTTCAAAGAAGAAATCCCAACAACAAAGATGGGTGGGTTCCCACAACCAGCATCAAAATTGGCTTTAAAGGGAGAGATCTCCCTAAGTCAATAAAATTTAATTATTGTTATCTGTCGGTTGATTACTTTGTACCCACTTTAAAGCAGTGCTTTAAGTGCGGTAGCTACGGTCACGTGTCAAAATTCTACAATTCTAAAGAGAGCAGGTGCCTTAACTGTGGGAAGTCTCCGAAGTGTGTGACCTGTGAGACGATGAAGTGCTTGTCCTGTGGTTCAGGTGAGCACAATACTTTCAATAAGTGTTGCCCTAACAGGGAACTTGAATCAAATATCAACAGGATCATGGCAATTAAAAATCTCTCGTATAAAGAGGTAAAAGAGAATTTTTCCGCAAATTATTTCGAATGTCTCGACGACATCACCTATGACGACAATTTCCCTCCACTAGGGAACACGTCTGCAATTTCGACCACGGATGGTAATCAAAACGCCAACAAAATTTTAACGAAAAATCAATATAATGCTGTCGTCAAAAGGACATCGGTTCCTTCCAAAACTCCTCCCAGTTTAGCCACCAAGTCTTCTCTCAATGCACCCACCAAGCCGTCTGGAACAAAGCCTTCGACGTCCGATAATTGCAAACAACTATTTGCGGTCCTCAGAACTTGAAAGATTAATGCTCGCGATTCAAGAAAGTATCCGTACGGTGATCCCTCATAATCTTATTAAAGAATTTAAAGAAAAAATGACTGTCTGTGGCATTTCTTGCCTCGTTCAAGCACCCAGTACTACGAGGAAATCCGCTGGGGCTCTTTCTCAAGTTTCAACACGATATCCTTTTTACAATATAATATTCAAAATGCCCGACGTAACCTATCGTTTTTGGATTTTCTTAAACTCAAACAAGGTTGATTTCTGCTTGTTAAGTGAAGTTTTTCTGAAAGATGAAAATTGTTTTGCAATTCAAACCCTTTTCTGTATCCTCTTTTAATTCCTGGGAAATCAAAATTCTTTATAGACTCATGAGTGGTCACACTTATGATAAAGTTTATTTAAAAGTAATTCGTGCTATACCATGTGATGTTTGCGAGGTTTGCAATATTGTTGAGTCTGCTGAGCATCTAATCCTCAGATGTCAAAGGCTTGATGGCATTAGCGATTCCTTCAGCATCTTCAAGTTATACGGCTGTCTCCTCGATCTCTTTGCATCAAAAAATGTACGTCATCTCAGGGAACTAACTTACTTTTTTTTCCTCTTCTTTCCTTTTTTTTTTTATTTTGTTTTGCGTTCAATCATCTTCTATTATCATAGCATTCCTTTTCGTTTTCAGCCGAGGTTTGCAGCACTGTTTGACTTTCAAGAACTCAACAAGCACAATTACACACACACACACAATCACACTTTACATGCTGGTTTCAGTTATTACGGCGGCCCTTTTTTTGTTACGTTTTGTACATAATTGGGACCAAAAATTACGACAGTTTCTTATCTGGACATATAAGCCACAAATCTATTGGCTTAGTCCATCTCCATTCAACATACCGAAGAAAAAAAAAAAAAAAAAAAAGGAAAGATTTTTCGTATAATATATGTTGTAAAGGAACGTAACGTTTATCTCTATGAGCGTATGAAGGTAAAAATATATATATATATATAGTATATTGACTCTTATCCCCAAGAATACGTAAGCAAATATAGTATTATATCTTTATAATGAAAAAGCAGTAGAGGCCTTCAACAAGCCTGCCATATTTAAAAGGAATTGTTTTACGAAGAAATCTCCAAACACGACACATTAGAGGAAAATGGCATTATACTTCAAACTCACAATTTAAGACGAAAGCTAGAATTATTTACGCAGTAATTTGTACATGTCAAAGAAAAAATCTCAAAAAGAAAATATAAACTAATTTTTAGAAACTGAAAATTTGTGAAGAGTCTTTTTATACTCTCATATAATGCGTTAATATATGCGATAAAGAGAAAGATGCAAAAAGACAACACTAATCATGAAAATTCGGTTTTGGGAAAGGCACTGCAAAATGTCGCGAACTATAGCGTGAGACCCACATTGAGTGAGGGTTTTAAAACACAGTATTTTAAGTAAGTATTAACAAGTAAGATTGTTCACGATGGATTGCAAAGGAAAGTATCCAATAAGGACGATCCCATCCAATGGGCAATACAGGCAATACTGTCAATGCAACTGTTAAGGAGCGGCTTTTAATACCACGCTATAACTGTGTGGTTCAGGCAATGACAGGCCAAGAAATGGGAGCTGGTTGGCATTACTTTGCCAAAGCTTATTGAGATGTAGAATCTGACTGGCAAATGTCGATTGTCTGTTCTAAAATTTTTTTTTTTTGTGATTATACCGTTTTCGGAGCATATTTGTATTGACGCTTTCTATACACACAAAGGATCCTAAAGTCTATGTTGTTGCTTTAAACAAATATTTTTACTTTCGCATATAATATGAATGGAAACCATTATTTAATTAAAAAACAGATGTATGTTTGCGTCGGAGAAAGGAAAAATATAAAATGAACTAAGATTATTGGCTCAAGGGCCGAAGGAGACCTTAAATAGGCCAAGGTAAATAATAACCCAGGGCTTAGGATATGCCCGTTCGATAAAGTAGGTTTCGCGCCCCGTCTATTTATATCAGGGTAAAGTACATTTGTTGTAGGTGTAATCGTTTCTGGATCGCCTGTGGGACAAAATTCAAAACACCCCACATCTCCTGAACTAGCTACCACAGCGCGTACAACAGTCATAATATAATAGTGTTCATAGACGATGTTTGGAAAGACTGAGAACACTTCGCAGACGTCAACTTTGTTACACAAAAGGTAGACGTAGATCGTTACGTTACCAAATGAGGACTTCCAGACATACGTGTTATGAATTACAGCTACTTAAATAATTAAATACGGGCTAGAAGGATAGAGTAGTGTTTTCTTGTATTATTACTATTGCGCATCTTTTGTAGTAGTTTTAGCGTAAAGTTTAAATTTTGTTTCCTTTTTAACCTTCTTCTAGTTGTTGGTTGGAATATGTTTTTGTAATCAATTTGAAATAAATAAATAAATAAGCTAGGTTACAAAAATGTATTAAAAATAAATAAGTTAACTAAGATTGATTCTACTAAAATTAAATACGTGTATTAAACATATTGCAAACCAAATTCCGGACATTTGTAAAATCCAAGCTTCTTTCTTTTGGTTCTCTACGTCCAGAAACAATTCGATGCGCTGCAATATGAAAAGAATTTGCGATTTGGCTTCCTGTTCTAAATACCATAACAGATTATTTCACGAAGAAAACGACGAATGTAGGTTCAATGGTAGCGCCAATAGTGTTAGTGACGACAATAATAGAGGTAAAAATGTATTCACAAAGGTTGTAAAGAACGATAAAACTTTATTAAAGTTCATACCAGTGTATATAAAAGGTTCAAAAGCACATTGCAATATTATGTTATGTTATGTTATGGCATTTGTTGCTGAAAGCTCAAAACTATCGTTAATTGAAGGAAGTATAGCGGATCATGTCAGCTCGCGTAGCTCTGTTGATGAGCTATGGCTTAGGTAGATTGGAGATGGGACATCTAAAGAGAAATCGGAACTTCCAAATATAGAAATAAGCGCATCTAAATAAAGAACGTGCGAACTACTTCAATAAAAGCTTACATACACCGCCGCAAAAGGTAGAACTAAATAAGTTTAAAGGTAAACTTTCTGCATAGAACAATGCTAAAGTGTATGACCATACCAATGCAGGGTCGCAAATTCTAATCGGAACACCTCATATAAGATTAATACGGAAAAGTCCATAACTTACACCACAGTTTCTCTGTCCACTATAAAAATTTGGGCTTCACTCTATTTGCCAAATATATAAAAATTGGTATCTGATCATTTTACAGGGGAGAATTTTGGCATAAAACTTTCAGAGCCCGCTCAATCTGAGAGTGATATCAGAGCTGAAAAAATACTGAAACGAACGAATTGTTATCATAATAATCATTAATTACGTTTACATTGCCTTTGTTACTGGAAAAACTAAATGTGGCCTTTGAAAACATTATCTAGTCCTAGTTTTGAATTATGTGCCGTTGCATTGAAAGTGCGCTTGTGTGAATAAAGAAATCACGACACGAAGCCTTCAAAAATAATGTTGTCAGATTTCAAAAACATTAGTAGTTGAGTAATTTGCGATAGTAGATTATGCAAACGATTTCTTTCAAATTGAATAGCTGAAATCCTCGAAGCTTCCACTGCTTCTCAATGTAGTGTTAAATTATCGGCAGCTATAACAATCAAGCAAACATTTAGGAAACTATGGGTGCTTGAATACCTTCTTGGTTTACCTGCCGAACGGAAGGGTACCAACTTGCCAAACAAATACGAGATGTACCGTGCCATGATTGATTACAGACTAATGTATACAAGTCTCAGTACTATATTTTATGTACAAGCATTTACGTATACCTTTCGTTGTTTTGTTTACAACGAAAGACAAAGATGTGTTTTAATTGGACTTGTATGAATTAGTTTTGTAAATTTAATTTCTACGTAATAACACTTTTATCTTTCGTTGCCGATTTGTAATTTTGTTGGCACCGTTCCCACCGTCGTATGTGCCCTGCCACAGCGTCTGCTTAGAAACCATTTTAAGTAAGTTAAGGCCGCAAGACATGTACGCTCACAAAATGTACACCATATGATTCCGTTTTGTTTTTATAGACACGTCAGTGTATGTGTTGCGTTTTGATTGCCAAAAACAACGCATGCATAAACTTTAAAAGGCAAAAACTCGCCTTAACGCACAATGCAACGCAAACTATATGTTCACTACATTCAAATAAAAACGATCAACATTATTTTGACAGTTTGTAAGCACGCACGGGCATAACGCAAGCATTCAGCGGTTAACATTTGTGAAGAGGAAAAAAAAACAAGTAGATGAGAACTTTCCTTTTCTTCTTGGCTCTGAAAAAAAAAATTGTTTGAAGGGGAAAGAATAATTTCATTTTTGATTAGGTCGAAATTGGAACTGGAAGAAAAATGAACAAATTTCATTTTTTGGTTAACAATAAAATCGAATAAGAAGAATAACAAGTAAGAAAGTTACATTCGGCGGCCGCCGAATCTCGCATATCCACCACTATATTTCCTGCATTCTACTGTCCAAGTTCTTTTATTTGACACCCATATCGCTAGTGAATCGCGGTGTCCACCATACTCAATTTAAAATTAACCATATTTACGACGACAATATATTTTCATTTAGGGAGTGTACGATATAGTTTTAAACATTCGGTCTTGTTTGACTTATGATAAATAAGCATTAAACTTCAGGAATATTAAAAAAACAAAATTTAAACACTCTGTGCCGGCAAGGGTTATGTTTTTCATATTTGCATATAAGGAGTTAGAGAGCTTCGTTAAGTAAATTTGGACAATTTCAGCCTTTTAATTTTTATAATTTCCGAGTAACGAGCAAAAATCCAAAAATTTTTTGTTAAAAAAACAAAATTGCGTTCAGTTTACACTTCACTGTGCACTTCTGCTCTGACCAATTTGGTCCATTTTCAATGCATGCAGAAACTTCTAATGTTTCCACTAAATTTGAAGGCTATATCTTCACTTTTGCAAAGTGCCAACAACAGACACCACACAGAAACATAAACGGACAGACATGGCTGAATCAACGCAGAATTTCACACTGATTAAGAATGTACATACTTTGAAGCTTTCTTCTGGATGTTACATACATTATGGAAAAAAACAAAAAGAGTATACCCCCATGTTACAGTGCGGGTGTGAAAACAACTTGAGCGGAAGAAAATCAAATAATGCTGTGACTGAAAATTGCAAACAAGCTTGGATAGCTTGTTGGTCTTCAGTCAGGGCTAACGAAATAATAAATCTACCCAATAATTTTAACATAACTATAATATTAAGCAAAAAGAAAAAAAGGGAAAAATCTTCAATTGCTATTAGTGCCGGTATCAATTTCGGATATTCCAGGTCTGTTTCACAATCGAATCACAGAAATTAGAACATCAGCAAAAGAAATGTTTTCTGCTTCAAATTGCTGCCTAGAAACTTCATATAAAAATTTTGTTAATTGTGGTTTACTTTTATAATTTAATGAAAAATTAGTTTTTGTATAATACAGCACAAACGAAGAAACCGATCTCGACTGCGTGATGTAAGAGCTTTTTCTGGATTTATTCTAGGATACACTGTACATAAGCGAAAATTGTTCATAATTAGCTAAGTAATCTCATATCATTCCAACAAATCAGAAAACTTAAACGCATGAGGAACTAGAAACAAAAAAATTCTGGTATTCTTTTAGTTCAGCACTGATTATATATAGCGTTAACTGGGCTTCACTTCCGAGTTTCGACTTTTTTTTGCTGTATGTATGCACAAGAGGCACGAGAAACGTTCTCTCGAAACTGCCAAATAAGGTGTAACTTTTATTGATTGTTCTGAGTATTAATTATTTAGAGCTGGGGGGTAATTATGTATCTGAAAGTCAGCTTATGTTTTCGTATTTCAACTGGTTTAGCACCGCATTCATCATAACGTTCAGCATTGGTTGATGACTATCGGCCTTTTTGGATCACGCACACTTCTTCCATACTTGTCAAGTTACGGGAAAGCGAAAGAGCTCAAGTTTGGCGTTGGTATTGATTATTTCAAGTTAGTTTTGGTTGTGCGGAGTTATAATAGAATACACCTGTAAATTGAAAACAAATATTCCCAACAAAATTGTTTACTTGCGAACAACCCAACCAACACAAAAAATCAACTAACAAAAACAAATTTTATTCACCAAAAAAGTTAGCCGCAAAGCAAAAATTACATAAAAGAAATATTTTTGAGTAGACATATTGGTCGCATTCCTTAACCTGTAAGTTGATTTAACCTGAAACAAAAAAAAATTGAATTTGTGAAGCGTAAGTAATATATTATTAAATATAAATAAATAATAGTTTAGTGTTAATCAATACACATACATGTACATCTACTGCACTGGGCCTTCTAAACGCATAAAAACCGATTAAAAGCAACCAGAAAATTGCACGTTAGAAGTATACGCACGGTGGTATTTTGCTGGTAGAAAGAAATGCATCACTAGCGAAAAAGTTGACTGGAGCGCCAAACTTCTGTACTCCTTTAATACCCTCAACTGTTGACAGTAATTTGCTAACTTTGCAATTTTTTTCAATTTCTTCAAAGATATTTTGTTATAGTTCATCTTTTTTTTTGTTCGATATTTATGGTCCGCCTAAATCTTAAGCAGAAAATAATACAATAATTGAAAATGGAATATTGGAATGGAAATTTTAATTAACTTACTTTGACTGCTGTTTTGTTGGGGAAACTCATTGAACTTTATTTACAGCTTATACCCTCCCACAGTTTGCTTAGCATTTAGTTTGATCCCATCATGGAATGCCACATAATAAACTGCAGTAGTTCACTCATTGCAGCTGTCTTTCAATCGCCACCATTGAATATTCAAAAAATGGTTATTGTAAACGAATTATACTATATACTTGCATTTGTCCCACTAGTTATTCTTAATATGTAATTTAAAATCGTCTATGCAAAGAATTACCTAAGAAAATATATTAAGAGAATTTTTATAATTCCGTGCCGCAGAATCCATTTTTGTTTTATGGCAGCGATTCAGAATATATAATAATTATATGCTTCTATATATTATTTGCCTTTATTAAATATTGACAATGACAGCAATAAATTTGTTGTTTTAATACACATTTATTATGTATATTTATCAGTTAATTATTATAACTAACTGAACCAAATACTGTAGCAACTTAAGCACAGCTCAACAATTTTTTTTATTGAACTAGAACGTAAAAAAGTGCTGAAGCCATAGTAAAATGTCAATAGTGTTGCAATTAATCTTTTCTTCTAAATCCTCATTTTAATTGTAGTCATCATTTGATTTTCATTTTGCAAATTTTTAGATGTGGCCACTGGCACGTAAATAACAATGTATATAATTTGATAGGAGAATCGCTACCTTCTTTGCGGTGGCGAAGTAAATGTACCGCATGCATGTATTGTTTTAAAAGGTAATACAATTGTTAACAGTTTAAAAGTGCACTAAAAACCGCTTTACACCCCTTTTTCTGGTAGTTAATTGACTAATTTTCAAAACAAATTTTTTCTTTGTTTTTCAATTTGTCATATTTCCTATAATTATTATTGGTTTGTTTGTTTATTTAGCAAAGAAAAGAATCAGCTTCTCGGAATTTGACAGCCACAATTAAGTACAAAAAATCTTCCTTTTTTTCTGCATTTCATTTATTTATGACACGAAAGTGTTACGCAGTCGGGATAGAAACGTTTACCATTTATCGGCTTGGTCGCGAACGAAAGTTAACTTTCAAATACGTGGTCGCCTCTTGCGTTTATAAAAGAAAAAAGATATAAATTGAAAACTAAATAAATTTTAAACAAAATTGTTTACTTAAAAACAGCTGAAGTAAACAACAAATTTTAAATTTGTGAAAGATAAATAAACGAATTCTTTTTTTTCACTTTTTAGTCCAATTGTCTAATTAAAATTCTTAATTTGCCAAAGTTTGTAATTAACTGTGTATTATCAATACCCTTTTCCGCTATCATCGATAAAGCGCAAAGGATTAAGCAATAATAAAAACTCATCTTTCTACTGAACATATAGGTCTTATCAAGAACAGATATAATCCATTTTTCTAAACAAAACGAAAAAATGGTAAGTAAAATGTTATTATAGCGATTGTTTTTTGAGTTTACTTTATGAACAAATTAAATTACATGATCCTCGTTGCTAATTTGATTGAAGAATAAAAACTACAAACAAACTAAATTAAAGAGAGAACATGTATCCAACAATATATAGTGAGGTAATACGTTTCCAAACCATACACTTGCAGCGGATATGTGAGTTTTTCAAAATTTTTTTTCAATTGATACAACTATGCACTTATTGCTGCTCTGCATATTATTATTAAACTAAGAATATCCTTATTTTCGAATGAACCCCGCCCAGTATAGTTGCAAATAACAACAAATTGACCAAATGAAAATTAAAAGTTTTGTTTATTACATTGTTTATATTAGTTTGTTTTAACAACTCAAGTGTTAAACGTAAAATCCTTACGGCAACTCTTAAATACTTATGGAAAGTAGGCCTTGTTCGATCCTCTCATAACTTTGGATATATTTAATCGATTTGTAGGAAAAGAAATTAAGTTATAAAAAATTAATTGATTGATTTTCTTTAAGTAACGACTATGTTTTAAAATTATTATTAGTAAATTACACGTTTGTGTATTCGTCAAAAATTATAAATAATTAGAAAATAATATGTAATAAATTACACTTTGCACACTTTGATTAATTGTAATGACTTTTAGTATAATTAGAAGGGGAAAAACATATTTTAATATATTTATACAGATTAGAAACCAGTAGAATATAAAAGATAAATTTAAACAAAAAGTTTTAAACTATTTTTGTATAACATATTGAACTGGCGATTGTTATTAGTCTTCTAAAATGTAAGATTCGAAAGAGTTTCGTCCTTTAGTATTCCAATATAATTACTGAAGTCCAAATACGAAATTTACTCAACGTCTTCAATATTAAAAAAAAATTGATATATTAAATGTTAAGGCTAGTGTTACTGCTTTTGTTGGTGCCAATAGCAACTTCCTTAATTGTTTACTTTCAATTGTTTGTAACCATAGTTTTACGCGTAAATATAATATTCACATTTTTGCAATGTAAATGGGAATTGAACGAAATGTTAAAGTTCGTCGTTGGTTGAATAAACCTTGCACTGTTGTCGTTTTAAAGTCTAAACGGTTCTCGTTTTTCAACCGGTGTAGTTCCCCGTGATGTTCTTCGCATATTTGAGCTAACAGATGGATCTCCTGAATTTTTCCTAGGTGTTTGCAAACCCGACGGTGTGGAAGTCCCACTTCGCCTAAGTAAACAATAAAAATACTTAAATAAATTTTAAACTAATTTGAAAAAATCATAAAAAAGGCTAAATTTTAAATTAAAAAATAAAAGTCTTAAATAAGCCAAGATCTGTAAGTTTTGGCAGATAATATTTCGCATAATATGCTTGTTAATAAAGGCAAAGGTCGACAACCTAATTTAAAGCAGGGGAAACACTTGAAATGATAACGTAGCAAGGTTCTACATGGATGATAAATTTATAATTGCTTTTGTGAAACATAAATTTCCATGTGTTTCTAGTCACCACTGTGGATTGTTTTAGCGAAACTCTTTTTTTCATTTCTCTAAAAGTTGCATGTGTATCGGCACGATATTCTGAGCCGTCTATGCCTGTTATCGAAGTTGTCGAAAAAGTAATATGGAGGCGAAAATAAGTTGACATTTTTTTGAATTCAGTTTTGTTATCTAAAGTAAACCTCGTCTAGAAAATGACATTATCTAGACATAAACATGCCCAAAAATAAATAGATTTCAATATCTAAATCACGAAATTAATGGTAAATTACAAAATGTTATTTATCTATATACGCAAAATAGATTCATATTATTTATATATATTTTATTTTCTACAAACGCTCTCCTGTTTTGCCTTTACCTTTCACTTTCCATACGATGTAAAAATTACATATTTTGTATGGTTAATGTCATATTGAACTGTTTTGTTTTTCGCTAGCGTATTGTGAGCCTTGCGTACATAAAAAATAATCCGCCCACAAAATGGAATTCAAATTGATACCTTTTATTTTGATTCCCGAGAGCATACAGCAACTGATACCTCCTACACTTCGGACCGAACCATGACGATACAAGTAATCGTCCTATACGAAATGTTGTTTATATTTATATCATTTTAGTAGTTTTTATTCTATATATCAAAATTTTTCGAACTGATGCTTTGAAAAAAGTTTAATTTGGCAACTTTTAACGAACTATCATAGCGAAAGGAACCGACGCAATGCTAAGAGTAAGCAAATTAGGTAATATTCATTTTAAAAACATCAATGTCTATGGGTTCCTAACAACCAGTAAGTGCCGAAAAGTGAAAGAACTCACAAAATTCTACGGTAGAACGTATATCGTTCAGGCGAAGTGCGAAATTAATTTACAACTGTGTTCAGATAGTTATACCGCCCTCTCCTGTTGTCTTTGAACTTTGTTTCTATATGCACAATATGTGCGTTGTTTTCTCATTAATGAATTACATAAAAATTAAATAAGGTTTTATTAAGTGAACTAAAAAGGGGAAAACAAATTTTATCCCAGCCATTTTTTGTGACTTTACATGAAACTTTCGGGTGCTTAAGATTTTAAAATGTAAGATGTAGTTGAGATGTGCAAATATCTCTTCTAGTTGATTCAAACGGAATCTCAATTTTGTGGTATTCTTTTTGAAAATATCGTCTTCTAATTGGCCGTTCATGTTGTTGATTACTGCGTATGAACGTACGTTTGACTTGCGGGCTCATGTCAAAATGTACGTTTTTATGGGTTTTATTTTAAATGCGCAGTTTTGGCGTAGCAAGGACAAGTATTTTTATAGAATTTTACTTTTTTCAGACAAATAAGCTATTGATTTCGTGAAGATGTTCGATTTAATCTTCCAATAGCTCCAATTATTGACGGTAAAATTATTCTAACGATTGAGATTTTATAGCCAGTTTGACAATAAATGAGAAATTAACATTAAAGGAACTAAGTCCTGTCAAGTTAAATGCGCCCTTGGTTTGTGTATGTCATAAATTTTTGACCAATTTATGTCACAGTCATGAAATGCAGTCATTTCAATTCTTTTTTCTTTTGTTATTCAAAAAATAGCCTATTCGAAAAATATCAACTTTCTACACTTTACAATGCCTCATCCGATGTTACTAATAAACACTATGGGCTCTAAGTCTAGAAGTAACACAAAAAGTTGAATATAATTAGATAAAGTATTAGATCTAAAAAGTAAACAATTGACTGTTACAATTAATGTTTTGGAAAGAAAACCTTATAAACTTTTACGTTCCGACGCAGTTGTTTCCCCATTTTATATATTGTCAAAGCCAAGAATGGTTTATGACTTTAACATTGTAAATTATTTTGCTGTGTTCTGTTAAACTCTGAACCTTGTAGCCGCGATCATACTAATAAACACTTGAATAAATAGTTTTCAAAACCTAAGTTATGACCTTTACGTGCGATATGCGAAATACGTTTTAATAAAGCGCTGATGTTGTTAGAGAAATTGAAGAGTTGCGTTAATTTAAATATTTCAAAGTTTTTATTGATTTCATCAAAAAAAAAGTTAGGAAATAAATAAAAACAAAGCGGTTGCTTGTAAAATATTGTAAAAAACAAAAACTTTGGTAACAGAAACGTATGAACAATTTGATTGCACCTTAATTTCTATACATTTGCGTATAATCATATACATCTTATGATATATGTATATATAAAAGCACATGGATGTATTTATAAATGTATATAAAAGTAGATTTTACCCAAAGTTGTAGTTAGCACTACTTAAAGCAGAACATGTCGGAGAGGAATTTTCACTTAAAGATATTTTGATAGGTATCCTCGAGGTGCGGATGCTTGATATGTTAAAATAAATAAATATTACAGAAGAAATCTTATTATTAAGTAATTAAATTTTAGTTAGAAGATCAACTCAATAGATTGTTTGATATGATTATTTTATATTTAAGGATAAAGGAGCTACTCGTACATCTTGTCAATATTAATAATAATCGAGACCTATGCGCTAACTAAATCACCTAAAGCACCAATTCTAAAATTATATTACGTATTGTATTATGGTTTACCTAGGTTTGAAGCCAAAGCCTGTCAGTGCTGGTATACTAGACGATCTAATCATTCCGCCATGGCTTTACGTTTTTTACCATTGATAAGATTCATTTTTGTTTTGGTTGATTTTTATTGATTTGTTAGTGTTTTGTGAAACGTATGCGAGGGAGATTTAGTGTTGATAGTTAATATGTCGTTATTTTGTTGGTTTTATGAAAATAAAAAAGAAATTAATAAACTACATAAAATAAGTTAAAAATTAAATTTGGCGAGCACACACTAATTAAAAGAAGAAAAAGATAAGCAAAGTGCATTTAAAGGAAATGAAGTACAGCAATTTCTGAACATTGAAGATTGAAAATTCAATACGTCTTTGGCTACTAATTCTGCAAAAGGCTTTCTGCACAACTTTGGACTTACTAACTCTTACGAACCTTTGTTAGGATGGTACTAAATATCGTGAAAAGCTTAAGGATGCGCTAACTTCCCAACTTCATTTGTAACAGTAAGAAACATGCATCTATAGCAATCGCTGGATTTTTGCAGATTTATTTCTTTGTTGTTTTCATTCCTTTTATCATTTAAACTTTACAACAAAACAGTTTTCGCAAATTAATGATTACAATAGTCGAAGAGCAAGAGAGACACTTGGAAACTGAAAAAATCTTTAAGAAGTTCAATTTAAAATATAAAATGCTTACAAAGAAACGTGTAATCAATTACGTAACCAAGCTAGCCCATTGACGAATATACATTTAACGTATGGAAAATTTGTAAAGAAATCCGATCGAAAAGAAACTGCTCAATGCGTATTAGATTTCCACACAATTTTTTTGCAAATGTAGATACCGCTTAAACGGTTAAGTTTTTTAACTATAAAAAGTATATTTTTGTGTGAACTCTATAAAGCGAGGTCCATTGCAGTAAAAAAAACAACGTGTAAAACCTTTTCGCCTTCTACCTCAGTTCTTGAAGTACTCTGAGAAAAATAAGAAGCATTAGAAAAAGGGCGAATCTTTAATACATACGCAGCTGCTTCTAGAATATATTCACACCATTTTTTTACAGGTTTCAAGCTACGGCGTTGTATCTGTTATGGTCGTGTTTACATGCGTGTCATATTTCTTCTCCATTGGAACTTTATACATCCATTGAAAACATTTGTACCAATTTTTGGAGTAATAACTATTCTAAATTGTAAATTTAATTTTTTGGCTATTATGAGCAGGTCACATTCATTTCCAAATTTTATTAACGACCATTAAATAACAATGTAGTTTCAGGAGCAGATATATTTAAGTCGTGCCAGAATTTTATGCTGCAGAAAAATATATCTGTCTCAAACGGTTTTTAATGCGTGTTTCTGATTATTGCAAATGAATGATTAAATTCATCCTCCGGGAGTACGTATGAAAATATTTAATGGCATTTATAACTATTACCACCCATGAGAAATTCGTTTTATATGTTCCCGGAGTATAATTAATACAGTTAGCTGGAGTATGGAGTGTGTTTTCACTTGTACAAATTGCGAGTGATTATCAAGTTTAGATAGTAAATTGTATGTATACAATGCTGTATAAAATTTTTCTGTCGCATTTAGGATCAGAAGGAGGAGGCAAATTTTGAAATTATTAATTACTTGGATTTATACAGCTTTTTACCTAGTTATTTAAGTTTTCATATGGCGGAATTGTAAACAAACAAGAGGAATGTAATACTGACTGTTGTATGTATTTCTCAGAAATATTGCACCCAGTCTTTTCAATTTTCTATTAAACTTTTTAAACTAACTTGGTGGTTTTGCATTCCCAAGTGCAGCTGACCCATGTTATTTACTAGTAATGTATGGTAAACAGCGCCAACCAGAACGGACTAAAATCATCATCAGTTACTTCAACTGGCTGTCAACTTTTCTTATCGCCTTGTTTTTATTTACTAAACATAATAATTCACTTTATTATTAGCAGAAATAATTACGCAATGATCACTTAACCATAAAAGAAAATAAGTAAAAAGGCTATAAGTGGCCCGCGGCCGTCAATTAATTACTCTAGGCCATCCCACTGTTCTCCACATAAAGACTTTTGAAATAAGATGTTACATAATAAGTAGTCGAAGCAGAGATCCGATACGAACCATTTTCAATAGGGTTCGTCCTTGGGAAGAAACATATCACATTTAATTAAATCAACTCAAAAATTTGCGTCCTACAGATTAAGCACAAGAAAACAAAAGAGGCAGATGAGTAGACAAGCTTAATATACCTGTTTACCACGGCTGTCATAGACTATAAAAATATTCCTCCCTGTCTTTCGATAAGAAAACGGATAAAAAAATTTGTAGAAAACCTATCCGAATACACTGCGGACAGAATCGAATTTGGTCTTAAAGCATTAGGTGTTAGACCCGTTGTGATACTAGTGTAAGTTACCTTACGTGGCGTGTATCGTCCTGAAGTGTTTCCGCTTTGGTTGCGTTCATTATCACTTAGGGAATCATTTGCGGACGCAGAAAAAGACGAACGCGATGGTTTCGACATTGGTATTGAACGCAGGGAACGTTCACGTACCTATGTGCACATATAAGGGTATATATACATTTTTCTCACAGCGAAATTTGATTAATGATAAAATCTATCTATATATGATTTAATGGAACCGTGCTTTAAAGTTTCATTAAAGATCGCTGCATCTCATGTTTCTAAGTAAAACAAAGGGCAAGAAATTAGAACATTTTGAAACTTACCGAAAGTGTTGTGGGGTAACAGTGTATAACATGTGGGCTTAATGGTATAGGACGGCTGTTATTGCAGCGCATAAAAATGGTGCCACAGGCAGCACACATATGAATGGGAAAGGCGCACGGAACTTACTCTTGTGCACGTTTTCTCTCAAATATTGGCATTAATTCTGCTAAATGTTCATCGGCTGTGTTGTAATTTTATCAAAAGCAATATACACGTATATACGTTTAAGCTTATATAATGAATGCGATAGTCTGAATAAATAAAAAAGTTTTTAGAAAACCTAATCGAATGCACTGCGGACAGAATTGATTTTACAGAATAACTGATTAAGGATGTAAGTTGAATAAATTGTGGAACTAACTAAAAATAGGCCCTTTTTTTTTGATGATTTTTAAAAACAAGTTTGAACACCCACTATAAGTTGAACAAGATATTAATTTTAGAATAGTGTTGCTCTATTTACTGATGAATCGCTCACGACTGGAAAAATTAAGAGAAAAGTGAAACCTCATTCTTTTCAAAAGTGATAACTGGAATGATAACCTTAATAGATTACTTGAAAATTTAATAAACCGGATATTGATTTGCTATTTACTGTTCCAAAAAAAAAAAAAATAAATAAGGCGGGGAAGGTGTGAAAATTTGTATGCTGAAAAGAAACATAACTTACATAGTTGGTGCGGGACTTGCAGAACCAGATGCAGTTTTCCGAGGTATAGCACCTGCACCGTTTGTGCGAGATGTTGTGGGCGTAACGGACAACCTTGATGGCCTTGGATTAGAGCCTGTGCCCCCTGATGATGCTTTACGTTGTGGAATGCGTGATGGCGTGGCTTCGTCTAAAATACTCCTTGCATAAACAATAGTTTTTTTCCAAATAAAATAGCTCACCTGTACTGTCTAACGATAATGTAGATCCTTGTCGTGATGAAGGCTTAGAGCCTTGCCTACTTAGGGGACGGGAGTTCGGTTTTGAATTTGGTCTTGAAGCGCTAGGTGTTAGACCCGTTCTGATACTAGTGTAAGTTACCTTACGTGGCGTGTATCGTCCCGAAGTGTTTCCGCCTTGGTTGCCTTCATTATCGCTGAGTGAATCAGGAGTGGACGCTGACAAAGATGAACGCGATGGTTTCGACATCGGTATTGAACGCACGGAACGTTCACGTACCTATGTGCACATATAAAGTTATATATACATTTTTTTCACAGCGAAATTTGATTTATGATAAAATCTATCTATATATGATTTAATGGAAACGTGCTTTAAAGTTTCATTAAAGATCGCTGCATCCCATGTTTCTATGTAAAACAAAGGGCAAGAAATTAGAACATTTTGAAACTTACCGAAAGTGTTGTGGGGTGACAGTGTATAACATGTGGGCTTAATGGTACAGAACGGCTGTTATTGCAGCGCATAAAAATGGTGCCACCGGCAGCACCCATATGAATGGGGAAGGCGCAGGGAACTTGCTCTTGTGCACGTATTCTCTCAAATATTGGCATTAACTCTGCTAAATGTTCATCGGCTGTGTTGTAATTTTATCAAAAGCAATATACACGTATATACGTTTAAGCTGATATAATAAATGCGATAGTCTTGACAAACCAACGGGTGAATGATCATTTAAGAATATCTTTGAAAACGTTTTTTTTTCAATTTATTTTAATCAGTATCCTAATGTTCTTATTTAATTTTCAATTTTTTCGGTATATTTATACATATATTCATAAAAATATAGTTAAGCAATAAAAGCAAATTGAAGTCAACGTGATTAGTCTCGTAGCGAGTTTGTTTGTAAAACAATTCAAACAAAAAAAAAAAACAAGCGAAAATTACATGATTGAAAATTAATCTTTCAGGTTATGGGAAAGTGTGAAACCACGTCATACAAGTAACAATAATAATGTAATTGTAAAACAACATGCTCGTAAATAAAATGGGAAATTTGCACGCGCAATGCATTTAATGAATCATTTTTGTCAGCATTGGCATTATTTATTTGAAAATGAAAAATGGTTTGAATTCGACTTGACCACAGGCACTTACCTTACATGGGAAGCGAGTAAGGAGGAAGATAGGGATGCAGGTTTGTGCCACTGACACACGTTTGAATGAATGAAATGAATATTTATTTACCTTTATAATAGGACCTTGCCCACTCATATAAGGCGGCAAGTTACCATTGGAGTTGTTGCTGCCGTTTTGAACTGGATTGGATATGGATCGTCTAGGGGTAAAAGCAGCCATACTTTGAGAAACGCCATCAGCTAAAATGAATTGCTCGCGTAGTTCAATGTTGGTACGACCCTTGGCTGAATGTGCAGGTAAACACATTACCAACACACAGGTAGTAGGATACATGCCCAATTAGCAGTATTGCCCAGCATTCAAGCGGTGCAATATTTGTAGGGTATTGCACACGTGGCATTTTTTCAAAAGTAGTATAAGGATGATCAATGTGTTTGAACATTTAAAGACCATATGTTCAGGTTTCAGTATATTTTTAAATAAAGTTTTTAGGGAAGTATTTGAGGAACAAACAAGCAACATTTTTCATTTAATCGCACGACGGGAGGTTTGAATTAAAACAAAGAAAGAGAAGGCAAAACATACAAAAAACGAAAATCAATATTTAAAACACCGATAGACAAAAAATTAGAATAAATTAAAGAAAACATTCTCCAACAAAGTTACAGTTAAAATTAGTTATCAAAATTTACGGGGACTTCAAGAAATGTGGTTGCAAATAAGTAAAATAACATTGCGAAAAGCATGCCCTTGATGAAACTAACCAAATCCATATAAAAATTATATATAGACATACATACATAGATTCGTTCTTAGTAAAATTAGTATATAAGCAGAATAAACACTGTTCATAACAGTAGTTAATTATGAAATTATTATTTAGTTTCGTTATTAAGTTCGACTCTTATTGTTTGTTTTCAAAAATGTTTGTTAAATGACCATTTCCGTTGTACTTAAGCACGTTATTGATGAAAAATGAATTAGAACAAAATTTTTATTAGCAGTAATTACTACCCAATTTTCTTTTGGCGCTAAACATAAATTGTGTACAATATTCGACCAGCAATTTTCTTATATAAAGTAATAACAGATCCTCTGCCAAGCCTTTGAAGAATTAGATCTTATTTGGAACACTATAGTCGGTAAAAGTAGTGATAAGGAGGTACCAATAAAAAAGTACCATAAATTCAAATAAGCCGGAAAAGCTTAATAAACCTGCTTATATTTAAGTAGTTGATTTGATTTGATATAACCGATTTACCTTCGGTTTTCTAACTACCAAACATTCGTTCGCAAATCAAGGCAATTTTGATAAATTCCCACAGTTTTTTTCTGTCGATTTAATTGGATCGAAAAAGTGTAACACAAGTTGAAACTTGGCGTGTAGGCTCTTGTACAATAAGCTTATATCATACTGACATAATGACAAAGGTGCAGAAAACGGTAAATTGAAGTATATAGCTAACGCTCTGAAATATCTTCCGCGGGTTTTATTCAACTTCATACTTATCTTTCGAGCGCATAAAGAGAATTAGGTTGTTATCATATTATGGAAAAACTTTTATAACTTTAGTTAAATTTTAATTGTTTGATAGTGAAGTGAGCGTTAGTGTTAGCATATAGATTTAAACACGCACTGTTTTAGTATTAAAGACTTACCACGACATGGATCATTCTTTTGCAAAAATTCATCTAGGGCCACCCAACCACCGCCAACACGTACCATGACAGTACTACGTAAAATGCGCACCAGTCGTAATTTTTGGGAATCACCAAACTTAAAATCATAAAATTAAGTTTATGGCTTCACTCTTTTAATATAGGGAATAAATTAAGATACCATACCCTATATTTGCCTTCGCCAACTTGAAACACCCGGAATTTTTGGCGACATGTGCAGAGCATAACCAAACGTTTAACTTCATCGTGTATTTTGTCGGAGTCTGTCACTGGTTTGCGTTCTTGCCAGTCTGGTCGCAAAGCAGCAATAAATTCTTGCCAGTCTATTAAACCTTCACCATTACGATCAAAAAGATCGGCAACAGCTCCCATTTCCATCCGCGACGTGTCGAATTCTTTAACCATAATAACTTCATTATTAATAAGAAATGTATATATGAGAGCATACTTCTTACTTGTATTTAGAATTCCATCAATAAATTCACCCCGAGGTATAAGCCCGTTGTTATCTTTATCCATTTTACGGAATAAGTCAGTTAGGCGAGATTTTTTATGGTTCATGTACTTAAGGAACTAAAATGCGTGGATTAAAAAAAAGATAAAAATTTGAATAATTATTATATCAAATAAATTTACCCTTTTCCTCCAATCATCCCAACTGAAGTTGCGAACGCGCTCTAAGTCTTTCAAATACATAAGGTGATCATTTAACCGACGTTGGCGCTCCCAAGAAAGCATCCAAACTTGCCGCCATTTGTCCCATAAAAGTTTAGCTCTGGAAGATCGAAACTCTAGTTCTGAGCCCACTGAGCTATTGAATACAAAAGTTACATTCCAAGCAATTTTACTTTTAATAAAAGTAGCGAAGTAAAGATTAAGTTATCCAAACAGAAACCACATATAAATACAAACTTTTTCAAAAAGGTAGCATGCACTTACCTTGGAGAAAAGCGCGGCCCGTAATGTGGCAAGCGATCTCTATCAGGTGTGTCACGATTAGGTGTTATACGACTACTGCAGTACAGTGTTCAGTAAAGATGTGAATTGTGTAAGTACAGAATATTAAAAAAAAAATATAAAAGACAAATACGAAGACAGACAAAAACGCAAAGCCAAAATTTTTATAAGATTGATAAGCATTCATACAAGACACAAATTTTCGAAACAAATTTTACATACAAGAAAGAAGACATGCACTACTAACGCTAATGAAAGAAACAACGTCTTACCCCGATTTGCGCACATTTAGTCCATAATCTCGAGAGCCTTTGAAGCTGTTAAAGAAACAATAAAAAATTATTTGAGAAAATGAAAAACCAAGGTCTCTTTGGAGATTGACAATCGACGGTCGTTAGGTGGGATGGAAGGCAATGCGGTTAAAAGTGTTGCATTTATGTTTGTCAAAGATTCTACAAATAGACGAGTACTTTTCATAGCAATTACATAAGTATGTTTTTCGTTGTTCTAAAGTTCTGTTATATGTTATTCATTGATTTTGGGGGTATACAAGCAATAATTTGATTTGATGCCTGAACAGTTAATTACAAATATTTCGGTTTCATTATTATTAATGATTTGTGTTTTTAATATGATGTATTACAATAACTGTTATAAGATGCTGGTGTCTATTTATCAGCGTATTGAATTGCTTTTCTGTGAAAACGAACCTTTGACGTCTTAAAGTACCATCAGGTGATTGTTCACGTATATCATGACTTGAGCCACGACTTTTGATAATATGGTTGACAAATTTCAATTAAGAAAATAAAAAAATAAAATATAAAAGCAATGAAAATTCATCAGATGCAAATATATATAGACAGCAAAAACTGCGTTATTTTCTTACTTACACCGGAGTTTTCGCAGCGCGAGACGTTTTGCGACTGCCAACCGTCAATTGCTTAGGTTTGCACGCGCGATCAATTTCAGCTTGACGTCTAGCTGTGTTCTCCATAAACTCTTTATGATCCTCAATTAATTTTTCCAAAGGCGCAATTTCGTCGGGCAATGACTCACGTTCAAGATCTTTAAAAAGTTTAAACATAATTTTTCAGCATACAAAAATTGAAATGAACACAATTTATATACAGAAAAATTTATTAAATTAAAAGTTAAGTTGTAGGAATATCTACCACGCTTATACATACTTGCGCATAATTTTTACATAAGTTTTCATATCATTTTATCACAATACAAAATCTGCCGTTCGAATTTTCAGAGGAGGGACTCTGGAGTGCAAAGACACGGAACTATGAAGTGAAGTCATTAAAAAGGTTTCGTCCCATTAACTTTTTTTAGAATTATTGCAATTTCTATCGCTTTGGTTATTATCATTGTCGAACTTCATATAACACTACACTCAATAAGGTGGCAGGATGACATATTTTCGAATACATGCGGTTTTTAAACAGCACAAACTGGCAAACAAAATGTCTCAAAATTTCATGACATTCCAACCATTAGTTTACAAGTTACAGTTGTTTTACTGCAAAATATTTTTTGGTCGCTTTGGAAGTCTTTCGCCGATTGCTATATACTCTGGCTGTCGATTTGACTAGGTGTAGTGATGAATACATGTGGTCATAGAACGCATTAAAATTCCTTCATTCCCAACAGCACTCTGAATCATAACGTTGTTTTCGAAAATTAGCAAACGCTGCTGCCACTTCTGACAAATATTTCTAATGATCTTGCTAAAGGGTGGATGGGCTACCTTTGGATATTCTTAGGATGTGAGTTATCTCCCGCAAATTCAGTCTTCTGTCTTCTAAAATGATTTTTTTCTGTATGTCTTCGTTCAGTGTCATCGAAGCCCTTAGGATTTTTTAAAAGCAGCAAATTGTTCTCGGCGTAGGGCGCAGGACTTTTTGAGCTAAAGCTGAGTTTGAAAGGTATTTTTTCGACTAAAAAACAATGTCTAATTTACACACTAACTTTTTTTTTAGCCGATATTTTGAAAATTACAAAACTGGGTTCATTAAAAATCACTGTAACCAGAAAACTAATTGTCAGAATGTTATAAAATTTTGAGAAGTATTGCTTGAAGGCTGGTTCTCTGCAGTTCTGTCAACAGTCTTGTCATATATTTGCCAGACTTGTCAAGTGAAGTGCGTGAGTGCCTAATTTTGGCAACGATAAGAGCTTTAACCAATAAAACAAAGAAATCAAAAACGCAAATAACTTGAAATGATTTTCTAATTTCGAAACAAAGAAGAATATAAATTTGAAACCAAATGATAAGTTGTATTTTCACCACTCTTGAAAAATACTTACTTAGCAACGTGGCCTCTAAACCATTTAACCATATCAATAGTTTCTCGATTGTGTCATCAAGATCTTTGAGGGACTGTAAATGTTGTTCCAATTTGGATTCTCGATTGACACCCCATTGTTTGACTTCCTCCCAGCGTTCTTCAATTATATTTAACCAGTTCTTGATTATTGGTATGGCATCCGGATACGCTTTAGATATTATTTCCTCCGCAAATTTAAATGTTTCGACTTTTTGCCGCTCACGAAGACTTAAATCGGCCATAAATTCTTTATGCGTCTCCATCATTTCACGCGAAATCCGCTCGTCGTCAGGAGCATTTTTGGCATAGCGTAATTTATGTTCAGCATGATCTAACCAATCGAAAATTCCTTGTATATTTTTATTTAATTTTTCAGCATCCTTCAATGCTTGTTGCAAACGTTCGCCTCGTTTTGCTGTGTCGTTTTTAACCTCGTCCCAAATGGACTGAAGTTCATCAAGTTGAAGACCAATATCAGGATTATTACCAGAACGCTCAAGTCCCCGACCTGTCTTTAATACACTTTGCATTTGAGTGGAACGTTTTTGTAAGTCTTGTTCTAAGTGTTTGTGTTGTTCCCAAAGTCCCTGAACAGTTTCCAAGTCACCATGGACGAGACCGTCTTGATTCAAAATACTTTCAGCCTTTTTTAGCCAATCTAACAATTCGCCAAGAGCATCTGAGAATTGGCCCGATAACAGAAGCGCTTCTTCCAATTTACGCTGGCGTTCAATACTTTTTAGAAGTACTCTACTCCATCTATCTTTAAGATCACATAACATTTTTCCCATAATTGGTTCATCGCTCTTTGGAGCACGCTCTATAAGGTTTTTGCCAGAGCGCATTGTGGAATCATACGAAGACTGTTTTCCTGTTAATTGGCGGTGGGTGTCTTTTATTTTTGATATACACTTTTTGATTTTTTGTGGCTCCTTTGTATTAGCAGCTTCCTCAATTATTTGATCTAAAATAGCTTCCGTTTCTTCTAAATATTGCATCATATTACTCCAAGAGTCGTTAAATTCGCGCGCTTCTTTATATCCATGATCAAGGGCACGTGTACGTTCAGCCGCTTTGCTGACAATCCTTTCCCAACGATGTTGCACGGATACCAAAAGATTTTTAATTAAAATAACGTCCTGCTTTTGACTGAAGTATTTAAGGTGAGTGCCTTTTTTATCTAGTAATAGCATAGCCTCACGGTGAGTGCTTACATCCTTTTGCAAAATTTTATGGTCTTCCATTTGAGCTTGAATCGTTTCAAGCACTCGTGACACCGGCTGAGCATTAGCTAATTGTTTTTCGGCTTGATTTAACCACTCGACGAAAGTTTGTAAAGTTTCGTGGAATTCTGTGGCTTCCTTTAAGGCAATCTCAAGTTTAATTTTTTTATCTGAAGCTCGCGATATAACGGCATCCCAACGTTGCTTAAGAGTACGTAATGTGTGCTGCAAATTACTCGATGAAACCTTTATTTGATTTTGCTTTTTAATATATTCTTGTCCTTGGGTTTGGATAGTTTCGACTTTGGGACGATTTTCCTCGAGTTCATTATACACTTCCATGAAACGCTCTAACTGTTCAGCGGCGGTCTCAGGAAGACCTCCAACCGGTTTGCTAGCTCCGATAACAGCATCAACATCGCCTAACCACCCTAATATATCTTGTACTTCAGATATGTAGCCATGTGCTTCCCTTAGAGATTCTTCTAGCTCGTGTTGGCGGTCAGAAGATTTTTGTAAAAGCGTTTTCCATTCTTGATTGAGTTTGCGAAGCTTCTCTTGTGTAGTGGACGCTTCGAGAGAACCTTTTTCAGATTCGATGAGATGCCGTCCTGCATCATTTAAAGTGTCTACAGAATTTTGATGGGCTTGAATGTCATTCGCAAGTACTTTCAATTTCGCCAACTCAACTTCAAGCAACTGTGGGTCCCCAGGTATCTTCCAAATAGAATGTCAAATGAAATTTTGAAAAACGTTTTAATTTAATCTTAATATTCAAAAGAGAAAATTATGTTTGCGTAAAGCCAATCGTAGTGCACTATATAAGTGCTGCATATTCGATTAAATTTTGCAAACAATATTTATTTGCAGGTAATAAAAAATTTTATACAATATACAGTTCTTCGGTAATTGTGAGCGGAACCCAATAAGAAAATATGTCAAAGTTTTATTTTACGGTGTGCGATATTACGCGTTCGATTGTCAGCCAGCAGACAGATAGAATCGAAGGAGCGTACTTAAGTAGAACGTAGTTGTGCTCACATTGATGTGAATTCTATTCATGTACTTACAGGTTTTAATTGATCCAACGTAATATCTGTTTTATTAATCCACACTAATAATTCGCTAAGCGCGTGTTGAAACTGACCGAGATGCAAGAGAGCATGCTCCAACTGCTTTTGCCTCTCGACCATACAACGCAATAGGCTGTCCCAACGACGATTAACAACTAAGAGTGGTTCCCGGATTGACGCAGCTTGTTCTGGGGATGTTCTTTCCGTCAACTCTATCGCTTGCCTGTAAATATTGGAACGTGTTTAACCGTTTGAGTCCCAAGCAGCGCGATCGCGCTTTTCAGATTTTATGTCGAGAAAACACAGACGGTATTGAAAAAACACTGTCAAACGGTTAATAAGGACCAAGTTACAAAAGTTTAACTGGAATAGAATACACATACATTTATTTCATTTGTTACTCTTACTTATATTCGCGTACTTCTTTACACTTACTTAGAGATTTGTTTCTATTGCACTTAAAAAGGAAAAACTCGATAATGTTTTTTAATAAACGGAACCTAAAAAGGGTAACTTTTTTTTAGGAGCCATGGATATATTGACCAAGTCGCTGACATGTTTTACTGACTACCTATTTATGAGATTATCAACAGGCCATAAATTAAGATAATAAAACAAAATTTAACAAAGATACTCTTAATTGGTTTCCATAGATTACAACAAAATCTACTTTGTTTCAGGTAATTGATTTATGGCCTGCACCTCGATTACTGAAATTAAAATAACGCGAAACTGTAAATCTAAAATTTGGCTTGAAATAAATAAACGTTAGCTCGAAGATCGAGAAATAGGGAAAAAGCTATCAAAAATTCGTTTGAACGTAAATACGATATTTTTGTCTTTAAATTAATATTAAGCTAATATATATTTTTGATAAGTAATCCCTTTCCTTTACTTGTGGGTATAATAAAAATTAACCCTATGACATACCTATTTAGTGCTTCAATTTTAACCATGTGTGGATCAACCTCGTCTTTGAACGACCTAAGTTGGTCAATTTGTTGTTTTACGGCGTCAATGTCAGTGCCTATCTGGCCCAAACGTGTAAAGTTCTCTTCAGCATTTGTCAAAAATTGTAGAAGTTTTTGTAAAGTTTCGTGAAACTCCATAGCTTTTTCCATTGCGTCTATAAGATTTTCTTCACGTTTTGCGTATAAAGCGGTTATGTTATCCCACGCGTTGTCTAAGTCATCAATGTGTTTTTTAACCTCTGGTTTGTCGGGCTCTCCACACATACTCATTAAGTTGTTTCCACGTCGTCTAACTTGTTCAACTTCGGGTTTCGTTTGGTCAATTTCATATCGAATTTCTTGCAAGGCAACTTGTTGTTTTTGTATTTCTTGAGGTTGCGCTGCAGGTGCTTCTTGGGCTGAAAGATTCTCTTCGAGGTCTTTTAGACTTTTCATGACACACAATAGTTGATTCCAGAATGATTCAGCCAGACTAAGTATGTCATTAAGTGAGCTGCCACGTCTTTTAGTAGCTTTTTTAACATCTGACCATAGAGTATTAAGCTTTTCCAATTTGCTTTTAATGTCACGAATAGCCGGATCAGATTTATTACCAGCTTTAGCAATTACATCATTAGCAGCTCGCTGTACTGCATTAAAAGCGTCGGCACGCTTTTCTAGGTCTTCTCCAATAGCCGCATTGTCTTCAATTTGTTCCCGAATTTTCTGAGGCAAAGCTGACAATGGATCTAGTTGGTTCACTTGTTCTACTGTATTGGTTAATGCTCGTAACAGTCCTTCTATCTTATCAGAAAATTGACTTGACTCTTGTAAAGCGTTTTCAAGGGCTTGTTGCCTTTCACGTACTTCCTGCCGCAATGCAGAATAGCGAGCGCTGTCTGTTGTCAAAATTTCATTTATCTTCCCACTATCATCATCCGTGACTAAAGCTCCCAATGCCTCGCCAGTTTTATTAAGCTTATCAAGCAATGGTTTATGTTCTAAAATGGACTGTAATAAACGCTCATTCCTATCCTGTTGTTGAGATATCTGATCAGGACGAAGAGCTGGCGTGCTCAGGCGGGATATTTGTGCTTCCATGTCATCAAACCAAGCACTCAAACCAGCGTGAGAATCAGCAAAATGTTCTGAAAGTGGTAAGGCTTGTTCCAATGTGCTTAGACGTTCGCTGCACAATTGCACTACAGTTTCCACAATTTCCTTCAGGTCTTCAAGCTTCTCCCGTAAAGTAGATGTATTGTCGCTTTGGGGTGATTCCCGTAAAACTTTCTTCGAAGCCGCTGTAATGTCACGAACTCGACCTTTCTGACCTGATATATCGTCATTAATAGAACGATGTTCTTGTAATTGGCCTCGTACTAGTTTAGGTTCAATTGCAGGTAATTCAGCATCACGAAGTGTAGCATCCATATCACGGAACCATTCCAATAATTCATCAATGCCATTCATCACTTCCTTCGCACGTTGATTGCTCAAATGCAAGCGTTCGGCTTTGCGTTGAATTTGCTCAACAATTGCATCGAACCGACGGTTATCACGGGTTACTATATTTTCAATTACAGCAGCTCCTTCACCAGGTGATATTTGACATAATTGCGGTCCAACCAAATTGACCACATCTAGAACTGTGCGCATTTCAGCTAACTCTCCTTCTAAACGTAACACATCAAATTGACGAGGTTCACTTAAAGAGAGAGACGTTTCAGCGATTTGCATCCATTCTATTAAACGACTGTGCCCCCCATGAAATTGTTGAACTAAAGGTAGAGCATTTTGAGAGTTTTTTAAGAGATCACCACCGCGATTAGTTAATTCTCCATATCGTCGTTGTAGAGAGTCTAACTTGTCCTTCAGCTGAAGGGCCTCGTCATTTGATATATGTTTCATTAGTTCTGCCCCACATTCTACAGTGGACTCAACATTTGGTGCGTGATTAGCAATATTTTCATTAAGTTGTAACAAAAGATCCATTTGCTCCAAAAGCTTTTCAGCGAAAACTGGCACAGAGTGAAACCGTTTTAGCTCAATTTCCATGTGCTCCATCCAAGCAGCAAGGTCTTGATATGTTAAAACTAAGTGTCGTAGACCTTTACGTGATTCATTCAATAAGGAACCAATATTCTCGCTTGAATCAACCAGCTCAGTGTAACGATCTGTTATTTTTCGCACCTTTTCGCTTAAATTTACGGCTTCGTCATCGCTTATCAAATGCATCAATTGACTAGCTATATCAGCCATTTGAGAGAAATTTGGTTTCTCTTCCAAAATTTCATTATGTAGTCTTTCGTGTTCTAATATTCGTTGCTGAATTTTTTCTTCATCAGTAGGAACAAGTTCCATACTTTTTACAGTACGTTCGGTAGTATCCAACCATAGCTGTAATGGATTAATTTTATCATGAAAGCGTTTAGCAATTCCCATAGTTTCTTCAAGATCTCGCTCGCGGCGTTCAGCACCATATGTCAATGTGTCAAATCGTTCCATAAGATCCTGCAGTTGTTTTTCGATAACTGAGCGTTCGGATATATCGGTGTGGCTTATGACTTCCTTAGACAAAGAAGACAACGATGACATAGAATTTTGTCGATCTAAAAGCATTTTTTTTAAGAATTTCTGTTCTTGTAATTGAGCTTTAATAACTTTATAATCCGAGCTTGGAGCTTTTTGATTTTTAACCATTTCTTCGGTATCTGATAACCATTTAGCTAAGCCTTCAAGAGCCTCCTGAAATTTTCCAGAGTGCAGCAACGCTACATCTAGGCGGCGATCACGTTCATTCATGCGTTCCTTTAAATCATTCCAACATTCATTCAAATTTTCAAGATCCTTTTCAATGTTATTGGTAGAAACTCCACTCGCTGCAGACCGAACTAAATCGCGACCAGTAATATTGACTTTATCCACATTTTTACATAAAGACTCTAATTTTTGCATTCGAAAATTACGGAAATCTTCTTGTTGACGACGAATATGGTCAAGTTCTGAGGCAACAGGTTTCATAAGACGAAATTCTTCAACAACTTTGTGGATATCGTTCAAAGTATGAGATTGAATTTCATAAAAATTTTGCAAAGTAAGCAAGGTCTCTTCTAAAATGTGACTATGACTTCGCAACCGATTATCAAGGCGCATGAGATTCTTGCGTAAAATCGAAATTTGCTCACGTGTTTGGGCTGCATCTGGTGAAAAACCAGCATCAACTAATGCATCCGCCGCGAGTTCGCACTCTTCAATGCCTTCAGCAGCTCTGTCAATTTTGCTTCGTAATTTGGTTGTTTCATCATATTGCACTTGAACAATTTGAATTTCCCGAGCAGGCGCTGACAGATTTTCGATTTCGTTTTCAAGTTCATTAATATCAGTAGCTAGAACTTTAACTTTATCATTAAAATGGGACACTGCCGTCGCGACAGACTGTAAAACATCTAAACGGTCGTTAAGACGTCTTTCGAGTTCCGTGATGCGATCAGCAATGTTGTCAACGTCATCGATAAGATGCTCCGCATCACCGCCCAAAGCGCGAATTTCTACACAAATTTCGTTTGCCATATTCTTTAAACGTTGTAAAGGATTCTGCAAATTCCGAAGTTCTTCTCGTATAGTTTTTACGCGTTCTACTAGCTTCGCATCTTTGGCGGTTCCACCAAGAGCATCATGAGCAGCCAAACGATCTTCACATCTGCTCACATCATGATTTAAATTACGAAGCTCATCATTAAAATCTCCCAAGCGACGGGAATAATTTTCAATTTCTTGTGCACGTGCAATAAGATCATTATTTAAACTCTCCCATTTCTCATGAATGTCTCGAAGTTCTTTGCTAATCGATTCTTTATCGATATCACAACTGTTAAGAAATGTTTCGCCTGACACTTTAGTATTTTCATAGTCGTTTGAATGTTTCCACACTTCACTGCGGAAAGCTTGAAGATCTCGCAAATGATTTTCTAATTTCGACTTGGAGAGCACGCCAGGTGCGAAACTATTTAATTTATCCTCCGCTAGTCGTAACCAAGTTAAAAATATTTCAGAATTTTGAATGTATTTTCTACAATATTCCATACATGTTTGTAGTCGAGTGTGACGCTCAACTGCTTCGCGTCTGAGTTTCTCCCATTGTTGTTGAATGCGGTCTAAATCACGTTTGGCAATGCGGTCTTGTTGAAGGTCACTAAGATCTTTGCCTTTGTTTAAAAGCATTATGATTTCGTGCTCACGTGCCATTATTTCACGATAAATCGGCTCATGAGAATCAACTTGATGTTGTAATGAAGGCTTGTGAGCCGATACCAAAAGCCGCTCGTTTAAGTTTGTCAATTCTCCAGATAGCCAACCAAGAGTTTTAGAGCAACTTTCTGTAAATTGGCGCCCGTTCCTAAGAGTAGCTTCGGTTTCAGCTTTCTTAGTGTCAAGTTTTTTTTGCAGGGTTTGGTATTGTTTACCTAAAGCTACAACACGTGAGTTTACATCAGCGCGTGACGCAGAATCACCTAGGATATTGCAAAGAGCTGTTGCAGATTGTTCTGCGTCCGCCAATAAAGGACGTTGGCCTTCTAACTGACGTTCAAGGTTTTCAATTTTTCGAAGTTTTTCTTGATAGTCCATATGGGAAGGCAAGATATCCAAATTATCGCTAATTTGCTGAAGAGCTTCTTTTAACCTACTTACTGCAGCGTCAAATTCTTTGCTACTGTCTGCAGCTCCACCTAAACAATTGGCGCGTTCATCAAGTCGTGAAACTAGGTCTTCCCATTTACCGTCAATATCTTGCAGTTTTTTACTAACTGCAACTCCGTCAAGTGTTTCGGAATGTGGATAATTTAAAATACTTTGCCCTATTTCTTGAAAATGTTTTAATTGTGGTTGTTGGGTACGAAACTCTTCACGTAAGACCTGGACTTGTTGTACTTGACTTTGGACCATTCGGGGATCTGAAGAAATGGGCCCAAGTACAGTTAGCATTCGTTCTTTGCTATCAAGCCAGTTTTTCAGGTTGTTATGTGTGTCCAAAAAATCTCGCAACTTATCCGAAAAGTTTATGCAGTTTTTGCAAGCTTCTGAAAGGTGTTTCCATTTATCCAAGACATTTTCATTTTCAGTGCGCAATTGATCAGCCCCATACACTTCCGATTTTCGTCGCAATATATCTTTAATTTGTGTTTTGGTAGTATCTAATAAACTTTGCTTCTCATACATATCTTCGATGGTTCTTTTAGCTTGTTTATTGCAGCGGTCCACTTCGTCCTTATTTGATATAGTTTCCTTTGGTAATTGGCGGTGAATTCGATCTAAGAAAATACTAAGATTTTTGAGGTTTTCATATTGTTTACGAATCTCTTCATTCATGTTATCTAACTCATTTTGACGGTCATTCAATCGAACTCCAATTAAACCGTACCGATTATTAATTTCGCTTAATTGTTGTTGTACTGGCGATATCTCAGTAAGTTGAAAACCGTCTTGAGAGGATCTGCGGCTACCGAATCCACTGCTGCCAGTCGATAGTGGCGACAGAATTCCTCCCTTGGTTGGACTTGGGCTCCTGGTTTCTCCAGACATACGTCGCAAAGGACTAACCCGTTTTATCGGACTGAATATAGAGCGCTTACGACTGGGACTCTCAGGTCGAATTAAAGCGTCATAATGTGCACCAATATCATTTATTTTGTCGATAGTAGAAGCGTACTCACGATAATCTTTGAATATAGGTTTCAACTCATCATTTTGTTGAGTTATTTTATTCAGATCTATAGCAACTGGATCTAATCCTGCGATACGACTTTCCATACCTGCCAACCAAATCAAAACTTGACTTTTGAGATTTTCGTAAGTTGCACGATGCTCTGACTTCTGCTTCGATAATTTCATTTTGTCTTCAAGATTGACTGTAAAATTACGCCACTGCGATTCTAAAGCTTTAATTCGATCTCGCAACAAACTAGTATCGGTTACGTCACGAATGGTGATTAGATCTTTTCCATGCCGCATACAATCGTCGAAAGTTGAACTAAATTTCTCTTTTCGATTAGAAATCTCAATCATACGTTTCATTTGATCCTCCGCTGTGAGCAACGTAGTATCGCGACTATCGATAGCTTCTTGTAGAGAACCTATACTCTGTTCAACATTCGTTATTTCATCTAAATACCTGCACAGTTTATTATAAATATCATCGAAAAATTCACCCCGTTTAACGGCTTTATCGAAAAGTCTATTGAATTTGTTGGTAATGTCATTCAAATTATTTTCCACCATTTTCGCAATGCGAGCACTTAAGGCCGCCTTCACTAACAGCTGAGCAGAAGAGTAGACGCTATCGATACTAATTTGATGCGATTGAACATCAGCCAAGAAAGCTTTATGTTCACGCATTTGTTCCTGTAAACGTTCTTTGATAAGAGACGCAAGACGTAATTGCAATTTATATTTCTCTTCAGCTTGAGTAACCCAATTACTAAGGCTTTCTAAAGCATCCTGAACACCTTGTGACTGCACAAGCGTTCTGTCTAAATTTTTGCAATGTTCGCCTAACGAATCTAATAGCCCTTGGTAGCTTTCCTTTAATTCTGTTATTGGTAATTCAAGTAATTTAATTTCCGCAGGATTGAGTTGAGTTCCTAATGTACGAAGTAGACTGTCTAAAGTTTGTTGCGCATAGTCCACAAGTCGACCATTTGAAAGTAATTCATTATATAAGGCCTTGGCTTCACTCATTTGTTCTTGAACAGACTTAGAATCTTCGCCAATTGGGTCGCCTATAATGCGTAACGCATGTGGACGAATGCTGCGCAACCACTCATTGACTTTATCAATGGATTCTTGATATTCCCGTTGGCGTCCACTTAATCCAGAAATACGGTCTTGCAGAGCATTCACACGATTCATGAGATCTTTATAATGAGCTGACGCAAGTGATACTTCCTGACGAATAGAGCTTTCAGTGCTGGGAAGCGGTTCAACATGTGGCAAGCGTTCAGGGAGCGAAGTTCTAAAATCATTTAGAATAGCCAAAAATTCTTTGCTTTCGTCAACAAATTTTTGAGTTGCCATGGTAATGAAACGTAAATCGGCTTGATGTCCTATTACATCACTTACGAACTCGCGTATTGACTCGACTTGTGTAGACAAGCGGGAGAGATCTGACAATGATCTTTCTTTATCTTCCAAAATATGTCTAGCAGATTGCAGCCAAGCCGAAAATATATCTAATTCACTCCGTAACTTGGTGAGTTCATCCCGACTAGCGTCAAGGCGACGTAAAAGACGTTGTACACGATCATTGGCGCGATCTACCCGCGATCGTAATTCGCGACCCGCACTTTCTACAGTGGCAATCTCTGGTGCAGAGAGCACATCACCTCCCGTAAGCACAATTTGCCGAATTTGCTCTGAACAAGTAGCTACAGAACGTTGTTGGCTTTCAATTTCATCCTTGATTTGCTGTTTTTATATGTAAACGGATAAATTAGAAACATATTTTCTTTATTGTGTAAACACATTTCTATACCTTAATAGCATTAATTTGATTGCGAAGCTCGTCCATTTTTTCGCGTGGTCCACCAATATTAGCAATTTTATGCTCAATTTTATTGACCCATTCAAGAAGGTTGGTTACATTTTGCTCGCATAAATTAAACTTTTCAAAGACGGCTTGCTATATAATTAATAGAGCAATAAGATATAATTTAAAGCAAATACAAAACCAAAAGGAAGTAAAGTGATATTCACCAATGGGGCGAATCATCAATACCGACCACTTCAAGAAAATATATGTGATCGTTTTCAAATTGTTCTCCTTCTAAATATTCATATCACAATTTCTTTTGGTGGTAGGTATAAAAATATTATTTCAATGGGTAATTTTTTTTAGATTTTTGCTTTGTGTTTCTTGCGTTTATAAATGTCGGTGTTTTTAGATCAAAAACACAAAATATATGCTTCAGAATCCGGATACAAAATATGTATAAAACAGAATACTTCATAAGCTTACAATATACATATGTAAGAAAAATAATACAAAACAATGTTACGAAATACGGCGACAACAATTATATAACAACTACAACAAAAAGTTAAAATAAGCAACTGTTAGACAACTGTTAGCAAATGTAATTTGTTAGTATGGGAGGCATTAAAATGTAGCTGAAAAAAAAAAAACTGAAAAAGGTAAACACATTTTAAATGAAATTTTAAGAAAATTAAAAAATATCAAAATATAATTTAATATGCAATAAAATTGGAATTTAGCTAAAAATAAAAATTTAAGGCAACCTTAGATTACCATTTTAAAACAAAGCAGAATACACGCGGCAATGCCATAATCTTCATTAGAGTTCCATACTGTCCGCCTTAGCTATAAGGATAAACAGTCCACGTACTCTTAACAAACCTGTTGTGTTGGATTACAATTTATGATACCTTAAGAAATGCACAGGCGGAAGACGGGTCTTTTCTTTTTTTTTGTTAAGGATTTATAAATAGACTTCATTTGAGAAGAAACAGGGGCGATCAAAGTTTTATATCTGAAATTTATTAGATATTTTTGATTGGGTTTAAACTTATTAAAGCACAGAAGAAGATATATAAGAAGTTATATAGCAGAACAATTATTTTCTTACATTTTTTCTGCAAAATTTATTTCTCCTTAAGAAAATCGTCTTTCTACATTTAGTATATTGTGTTTATGGAAAAAAGATGCAACAACCTTCCAATTATTTTTATTTGTGAAACATATATGGTGAAAATTGCCTTCCTTTTAGTGCTTTTGCTACCATTCCATTAAATGCTACAATAAATGGAGGCCTACACAATTTTCTATAAAACATGATATTTTAAAAAATAGCAAACGTTTTATGTGAACCTATTTTCTATCGATCGACAAATTTCGAGAAGTTTTCACCGTCTATCGATTTTTCAAAGCAGAATTGATTGTAATGTAGGTAAAATATGGTTTAGTGCGCTTAAGAAAATTGGGTCGAATGATACTGGCTTATAAACTTATACCGTTATGATGCAATATTTTTCTTTGTCAATCACAAAACGCATTTTTTTGGAGAAAATAAACTACAATGGTAAGATCGTTCTTTTCGCGAGTATGCAATTTTCGAAATTAATGTGCTCCAATGGTTGTATTGGACGATCAAATATGGAAAACTCCTAGGGATTTGTGTTACCACAATATTAAGAGGTTTTTTTATAGACGAATTGGGCAAAAACGCTGTTAAAATAGCATAAAAGAAATTGTTATTTAACAAAAGAACGTAATTGAAAAATTTAAAGACAACATAACCATGGTACAAGCCAGATCGTTTCATGGCGAATTAAGTACAATCAATGTCCAATGTATAAGCTTTAGAAATTCTTTTGTGCTCATTTTTTAGAGATTTTTATGTAGAATTTTAATCGAAATATTCATGCACAATTACCAAAAACAGCAAAATAATCCACAGCAGAATGCAGGAATGTACACGTTAAATGAAAAATTTATTGTTTACCCATAAACAAACTAAACGCATTTCTTTCACAATTCGTCTGGAAAAGAAAATTATTTTTCGACCGTACGAATTACACCGGTCTGCCGTACTGAACTATATAAAATACACATTGACTTAAGCGGTAGAATGCAGAACCTTATTCACTTTAATATAAATAAAGAAGAGAAACTTTGCTATATGCTTCTTTGCACTGATTTTAACCTTTTTTAAGTGTGCTACAATGGCATTTATATATATTATAACTTATTGCTTAGAGGGAAAGTAAAAGAGAAAGGCAACCGCAGTACAGTGCAATGTGTACGCGCAATAATAATAATAATAACAATAATAATAACAATAATAATAATAATAATAAGAAGAATGATAATAGTAATAACATAAATAGAGTAGAAGACTATTTGCAGGGTATAAGAAATGGCGAAGTCAAAATCCTTGATCTTGCGCATTTTTAACTTACCCTTTGCTCTGCTTTTAGTAGTAGACCTTTTTCAGCCGCTTCTGCAAAGTCCACGTTGGAATGGTCTACACATAACAGGCAACCTTTTTGCGAATCGACTAGCCCTACATTTATTGCTGCTGTAAACGGTATAATTTCTCCAGTAGAGCTATTGCGTATTACCGTTGACGAAGGTTCAATCAAACCGTTGGTTATCGCTTCAGCAAGTGTAATCGTTCTGGGTTTAGTAATATTGCCATTGGTATGGAAAGGATCAATGAAAGTACCGGTTGAAGGTATGTAAAGTTTAAAAGTTATAGCTTCGATCAAACTGAATGATCTTTTAGGAGTTATAAGTAAACCGCTTTCATAAGCCTCCTGCAAGCTGCATATTTTAGAGGTTTTTGTATTGACAACGTTCGCTTGGTTTGCATCTATTAGCCCTTTGCGAAATGCTTCCGGCAAACGTACTAACTTCGATTTAGCCAAATCTTTGACGAATGCCGAATCAGGATCCATAATACCTTTGGTAATGGCATCCTTAAGGCTGTATACTTTAAATTCTGGAGCGTTGTTTACGCTTTCTTCTTCTTGGCATTTTGATGAATTTATATAAGTGAGTACCCCACTCTTTAGGTCTAAGGCGTTGATCTCCACTGCGCGATCAAATGTTATAGGTTCACTAGCAAATATAACTGAAGTTGCGTCGAATTGAAAAATCGAGGCTTCTGGGTCAACAAAAGTTCGCTTACTCAAATCGATTATACCACTTTGTCGAGCGATTTCAAAGGATACTTCTTTGTGGGATTTGTAATCGCGCACAAAGGCAAACTTGGGGTCAATAATTTTATATGCGATGGCTTCTTCAAGTGACATCTCCCTAGGCCCATTAAATGAAACACTACCTGAAATATGCTCGTTTAAACAGCGACTATGTCTTCGGACCAGGTCTTCATCACTCATTGCTTTAGTCATCGTTACAAAAACCCCCCGTCGCATAGCAACGTCATAATTGTAGGATATTTTTCTGCCATGATCAAACACACGACCTTTTTCAACGTCAACGTCTCCCTTCTCAATAGCCAAAATGAGTGGTATGTCCTCGCCAGTAGCTAAGTTTTTAAAAGCTGTTGTTGTTGCATTAATTAAACCACTTTGTATGCCTTGAAGCAAATTACAGAAATCTCCTGAAATAGGATCGCAAAATGTACCGCTTTCGGAATCAAGCAGGCGCATTTTCATTATAAGTTCCAAATCGAAATATCTACGATTTGAGACGATTAAACCTTGAGCGCGTGCTTCCTGCAAATCGATTTGGTTTGACTCACTTAAATTATAACAACCGTTTATATCATCTATAAAATTGTGTTTAATAGAAAAAGCCAAATTTGTGTATTGTCCTGTTTTATGATTTTTAACCAAGCTTGCTGATGAACTAACAATTCCTTCTGCACAGGCTTCTTTCAGACTTAGTCTTCTGCCAGAAACAGGGTGAACAACTTTACGTGTTGCTACGTCATAAAATTTCATAGCCAAGAGCTCATATAATCCAAAATTGGAATTTTCGATATCAACAATTAACCCTAATTTCAACGCTTTATGTAACGATATAAACGTATTACTACCAGGTACGCGAAATACTCCCTCTATGCAATTAATGATTCCCATATGACATGTTTCGGCCAAGTCGTGCATATTTTCTGGTACTGCATCAAAATAGCAAGGTAGCTGAGAATTTATAACGAAATTTCGGATAGCTTCAAGCAAAGTAAGTTTGCGTTTATTATTTGGATCTACGAATTTTCCATCAATTTCATCAAAAAGACCACGATGCAAAGCTTTTTGCAAACTAATGGGAGCTCGCGTATCATTCAATATGCCTACATCGAAAGCATCTTTTATGGTAAATTTTTGATTGTTGTAAATTAATACAGCACTGCAGCTGTCAATCAGACCGGTTGCCTTAGCATCTGATAAATTAAATTCTTCATAAAGATCGGTATTTGAATCTTTTATTTGAACGCTCTCTTCGTCCAAGAGTTTATTCTCGATTGCTTCCGATAAAGATAATTTTTTTCCAGTCCTTGGATCCATGAAGGTGTCATCTTGTTCATTGTAAATTCTTTTTATAATAGCTTCCATTAAACTTATAGGGATCTGGGTTTCGATGAGAATCCCTCGATCAAATGCTTCCTTATAATCAATGGCTCTGTTGTACTTATCTTTTACCGTGCCTTTCTTTGTGTCGACAAATCCAGAAGCAATAGCCATTTCAAAAGACAATACTTTATCGGCAGTATTGACAATGGTCGAATTAGGGTCTAGAATGCCTCTACGAATAGCACATTCAGTTGAGAGTTTTTCTCTAGTTATTGTATTGCTGAACACGCCCGTTTTCGGATCATACAAACCTCGATATACTGCGTCTGGCAAACTGCGCTTACGTTTGTGGGGAATAAGTATTCTACTTTCCAGAGCTTCGGGCAATGACTGTCCAGTATTAGAGTATGGACTAATAACAAGACCGTGAATAGGATCGATGTAGCCTTTACTAATGGCTTCTCTTAAAGATATTATGCAATCATTTTTAGGATCTAGAAGTATAAGTTCTTCGGAATTTATAAGTTTTAAAACTAGTGCTGTCTGTAGGTCAACTGATTCTTCATCAATACTAAATCGTGCAGTGTTTGGATCATAAATCTCTCGTAACAAACAGTCCACTAAAGATAGCGGTTTCTTTGTGCTAAATATATAACCTTTCACAAAAGCTTCATCGAGTTGAATATTTGGACAGCTTAAGGTACCTTGGACAATGTCTAAAAGACCTTCTTTGATAGCTTGTTTACTCGACACAATCAAACTCTTTTCATCATTTTTAATCAGACAAGAATCTAGCTCAACGACACCAAATTCAATCGCTTGACGAATGCAGATCTCCTCCCCTGTGATGGGATTTAGAATTTTACCAGATCTAGGTATATAGTATTCTCTTTGCAACATTTCAGGTAAACTCCATGTGATATGATCAGTTTTTAGTAACTTTCTTTCCAGACCAACGTCTAATGATACTAGAATATTTGCCTTTTTATCTTTAATTTTTCCTATTTCAGTAACTACCAAATCATCTTCGAGAGCACAATCCAATTTGATTTCTCTCTTAGTTGTTGTATCAACAATCAAAGAAATTTTAGGATTAATAAGACCGATTTCAATAGATCTCTGCACATCGACTTGATTGTTAGATTCTAAATCATACAGCTTGCCAGTTGCTGGGTCGTAAAGCCCTTGTCGAACTGCAGCTTCGAGAGAAATTGGCTTGCGTGATCCAGGTACAAGAAAACCCAGTTTAAAAGCATCCTCCATCGGTATTTCTTGCAAGGTTTGTATATCGATTACGGTTCCAGCTTGCATATCAACAACTCCCAACTCAATTGCCATACGCAGCGGGATTACTTCACCGCTTACGGGGTCACGTACTGAAATAGACTGAATGTCAATTACGCCGTTATTAATAGCATCAACAATGGAAGAAACTCTTCCATCTTCAAGTATAACTTCCCCGGTTTTCTTATTGATTACATTTTCAATGGCAGCCTGTTTTCTTTCGTTGATCTTGGAAAGTACAATCCAATTACGATGTACGCTTTCGAAAAAGGAAATTTTTGTGCCAGTCTTTGGATCAACCATATGACCATTATTTCTGTCAAGCAGAGGACGTTCCAGGGCCTGTGTTAGAGACTCATATTGTTCCGTCGTAAAATTTTTTACCAATGTCGTTTCAGGGTTGAAAATGTTCATCTCAGAAACCAAGGCATGGAATGGTATCTTGCTGCCGGTTGAAGGGTTAGTAAAGTGTTCATTATTTTTGTCATAAACGTTCAGTCTACTGAGGTTTTCAATCGTGATTTGGTCACTGGTGTTCACCAAATAAGGGGACGGTCCAAAATTATTTACCTTTTGACTCGTCCATTGCATTTTATTACATTTCATTAAGTTATTTTTTAAAGACTCTTCCTTGGGCTCATACGCAGTCGTTTGAGAAATTAAATCAAAAGGAACTTGTCCAGTATTTGCCGTGACATCTGCTTTAAAACCGGGACAAGTCGAATTGGTTTTTGAACTTCGAGGAGAATTTATATGGTCTTCAGTATCCACATTTTGTGTTCTTTTTTTTTCTACTTGATTTTCATTTCGATCTGAAAATACATTTGCTTCGAGTTGTAAATCTTTAAAAGAATTATCTGGGTCGTGAAGAACGGGGCTAGCGCTCCTAACAAGTCTTTGTTCAGAAATACTTGACAATTTGTTCTGTTCCGTATCCACGTCCTCATTTGATTCTCTTTTTTTTTGTTTTTTTCCTTTTTTAAAAGAACCCTTAGTGATACCTGAATTGAATTCTTTGATTCCGCTAACAATTGACGCTCCGGCTAGCACATGTGCAGCGACAATCCCAGTCGTTCCCTTCGTTAAGGCTTCTTTAGCTTTATTTACAGTCGTATACGATGAACTTGGCTTGGGTTTTTCAGCTACTTCTGGTACGTAATTTTTTTCGATGTGTACTCTGGAAACGCATGACTGTCCTCTGTCATTACTTATTTGAGCAAACGAATTCAAGTGTTTCGTCTTTGCACGGTTGTCGCTCACGGTTGTTTCTAAAACATTCCCTTCCGAAGTGGAGCGTGAAACTTGTGTTTCAATATTTCGAAATTCATCGTTTGAAATTAAGACATATTCTTGTGTCAACTCTATTGTCTTCGTTGATATCTCATGTGCAGTGTTTACGCTGTCCGTAAAATTCGTTTGTGGCGTAGGTCGTTGAGATGCGACAAACTCGCATATAGGTTTCACGACTAGCACGCCCTTTTCTAGAGCTTGCCTAATCGATAAGTGGACATCTTCGTCCGGGTGAGAGAATGTTTTGTTCTCAACATTAATAAGACCCTCCTCAACAGCTTGAATTACTCCAATTGCTTTACTTTTTGGTGGATATGGAATGGACATGATAAATCCCTCCTTAATTGCTTTTTGAAGTGGAATTTGAATCTTCAATTCTGGATGAATTATCGAAGCTGGCTTAGTTTTAAGTAAACCTCTTTCAACAATAACTGCAAAGGTCATACCAACCGGGGGAATCGGCATAAGCGAAGGTTTTAAATCGCTTTTCGTTTCAAATATATTTAACGCTATGCTTTCTGTTAAACTTAGTGATTTCTTATTAACTTTAAATGTACATTCGTCAGCGTCAATAATTTTTTTTTCGAAAGCGTCAATGATCGTGCACTCAGCGGGTTCCTTAATTTTTGAAAAAGGGTCCAGTATCTCACAAATTATTGCTTCGTGAATATTTAAAAAGCACGCACTTTCTGGATGAATGATTTTGTTAGTTTTTGTGTCAATAAGACCTTGCTCCATGAGCTTAGGTATAGAAAGGCTTTTCACTAATGGGATAAGAAGGCCAGCCGCATCAGAGTCTATAATATGTGCATCCACAGCTTCGTGTAAATTTAATATACAATTACGCTGAGGATCAACAACTTTGCCTTTATTACCATCAACAAATCCAAGATCAATGGCTTCAGAAATGGACAAGCGTTCATTGTTCTCGTTTATAAAATTTTGCTCATTCTTTAAAATTCCATAAGTTTCCCCATCAATGGCTCCCTTTTCTAAAGCCTCTTTCAACTTCAATCTAACTTTGCGAATCTTATGGAAAACACCTATTTTTTCATTACGCATTGCCCTTGCAATGGATTTTTGTGTTATAAGATTATCTTTAGCTATTGTACCCCTTTCATAAGCAACTTCAGCAGTGATCTGTTCGTTTGTAGATGGATTCGCTATAAATTTTACTAAATGCAATGCATCTTCTGCAGCCACCAACGGCGTACCCGATACTGTCAATACGCCCTTTTGAATAGCCGTTATAATATTTAAACGGCACCCTGATTCAGCCAAAATAGAGCAAAGTTCAGGGTCATATATTTTTCGGTCTACGGACTCTCTAAGGGAAATATTTTCTTGCGTTTCGGGATCAAAAATGCGAATAAGTTTGTCATCTATTAATCCAAGACGAGCAGCTTTCAAAATGTTTTCAGTTTGACCACTTTGAATGAAAATTACCAAAGCAGTTGAAGGATCGTAAATAATTCCTGGAGCAATTTGTAGTGGTTCAGGAGAGAATATTTCACATTTAGCAGTCTGAGAATTTTCTTTAACCATAATTGATACTTGATCACTTCCAATGAATTTATCATTTAAGTCACCACTATTTGAGTGGTTCTCCGTAAACGGAATATCAAGGTAATTGTCGACATATTGCTGCAGATTTGCTTCGTTAGGATCCATGTCCGCAACCCTCTGCTTAGCCATAATAGTTATAGTGGATTTAAATTTTTTGGCGGATTCTGATAAATTGTCATTGGAATCTACTCCAAGCAAACCATACGTTAAGGCCTGTTGAATGGAGTAAGTCATACCTGTGTTTGGGTCCGTAAACATCTGTTTGTCTTCGTCTACCAGTTCCTGTCGAATTGCTTCCGTGAATGATAGTGCCTTTGTACTGGGCAGACGGAGTTGCTCTTTAGTATGAATAGTCACATAACGATTAACAGTGCGTGTCACAGTTTCCGTGGTTAATGTAATATTAAGAAGACTACTTAAACGCAATGCACCTTCTGCCGTTATAAATTTACGTTTTAAAGCTATATCAAGAGGAATGGTTTGGCCACTTTTAGGATCAAGGAGGCAACCGCTCTTAGGGTTAATCAGATTGTGATAGCACAAATCTAATAAGTTAAATTCTTTACCGCTCGCGTTTTTTATGCCTACTTTTTTGTGAAACATTTCGTACACTTCTGATCGGATTAAACCTTCGATCATAGCTTCTTCTAAAGATTTGTATGTATCTCGTATTATCTCTACAGTAAAGCCTGAACTTGAACGATGCAATATCCCGCGAGATAAGGCCACGTTGAAACTAAAAAAGTCGTTACTTTGCCTATCTTTAAAACCATCTATATCAAATATAGGGGTCTGCCTGACACTACTAATTAAGCCACGTTCTACAGCCTCAGGTATGCTGAAAATTTCGCCAGTCGAAAAGTTTCTGTATTGGGATTCAGCTGGCAGTATAATATCATCCTTTATTGCATTTTGCAGTGTTACCAATTCGCCTTTTTTTCTAGTGATGCATTTTAAACTGTCAAAATCCAAAACCCCTACTTCAATAGCTTCCGTGATAGTCAGCTTTTTTCGACACATAGGGCTAGTAATTCTTGCCATTTTATCCATCAAATTCTTATCACATACATCTTTAAGGGTACACGGTTTCGTAATAAGTTGAAGAGTCTTAGCATCATGAAACGACAACTTTTCTTCTGTGCTTTCATTTATATAGTGACCCATTGCTACGTTTAATATACCTCTTCTGATAGCTTCCTCTACTGTAATCTTTGAGTCGTTACTAACATCAACAACTTCACGAATGCTTGGATCTATTATTTGTTTAGCTATAGCCACATCCAGTTTGAACCTTTCACCCGAATTGCGATCGGCAATCCATCCGTCACTGTTAACTAACCCATGTTCTATAGCATCGCTTAAACATAGAGCATTTGATTTTATTGTTACTGATTCATGTCGAACAACATAATCGGGTGTAATAGTTTCAGTGTCGGAATTTCTATTGATAGTTTTAAATTTGTCAAGTTTATCTATATCTGCCAAGTTTTTTTCTTCATTGGGCTTTACCATGGCTTCGCGATCTGCTTTCTTTCTATTATACTCTTCTTGCAGAACTTCAAGCTGTGAAATATTTTTTGTCTCAGAATCAGATCTAGGATCCATTAGCTTATAGAACGGTTGAACATCGATTAATTTCCGGTTAACGGCCTCCCCTAAAGGTATTCGATCATCACTGGCCAACAATCTGCCAGCGTTCACGTTTAAGGCAATCGGTTGCGTGGCTTCATTTATCCTCAGAGAACAACCAGGGCTTATATCTGATAATGCCTTGCAGTCAGGAACTTGTCTGTTGTTTTCCAATTCTATATTTTTTTCCAAATTGGCACTTTCCTTTTTCTCTGTTTGTGAATCACCCTCACTAATAGCTATTGCAATTCCAATTGGTGTGCGGATGTCTTTAATAGAGGCGTATCTGAAGAAAGAGAATTTTGTTGACAATTAAATTGTTCAAGACGTATAAGTACGAGGACAATATAGTCCAAGCCTTGTAACTACTTTGAAGATCTCCATTTAACAAAAACTTTGCAAAAATAGAAATTTCGGACGGAAAAGCAACCCTCTTCGTGTTAAAGTTTCTTAAAAACTCACGCCGTAAGGCAAGTTATTCTATATCAAAGTACTATTTTTACGTTTTACGCCACAGTAGGTATAATCTCCAGCAAGATTTTCAACTTTCACTTTGCCTAAATTTTGGAAAGTTGAAACATGAGTCGCCAGCAAAAAGATAAAAAAAGAGAACGGCGTTTACACCATATCATCAAAGGTGAAAAATAAATGATAATACTGACGCTTGTACCACCTATTTTATGGAATCAGCTGAGTGTAGTGTATTTCGGCGTACACAAACCAAAAAAAAAGGGGGAATATAAGTATTCCGCCCAAGGACCTACAAGGCATATGGCTTAGGATGCTTATAGTTAGGGCCTCAAAGTTATTCAAACTTACCAATTGCACGCCCGCAACAGTTATCATCCCGAATTGAAAAAGATTTTGAGGCCAGGTTAGGAAGATGATATATTTCAGTCATTGCATTTAGGTCGTACAAAATCGAGTGTTTGTAGACCTAACAATTTATCATGGACATAAAAAATAAATTTGCTACCGATCCAAGACTTTTGTCTCCGTCATTTCAATAGACTGAAACCAGCAACTGCTTCTTTTTACTAGTGATATCAAAGATCAAACTTAGTTAACTAGTGTTGTCGCGGTTTGCGAGTATATGATCGGATATTGCTTCAAACGATGGCTATACAACCATCACCAAAATGGTTTCGAAGACTGCAAATATTCAAAGATCTTGTAAGAATCCCAACAAATGCAATTTCTGCAAGCCTTTCACAACCCCACAACCGACACTCATTTATACTTAATAATAGGCCGAAATTCGGTTGATAGTCATAAAAGAAGATAAAATAAAATTAAATAAAAAGAATAATGTTTATGAATTTATTTTTCTGTGTGTTTCAGCTGTCAGCTGCCTAGCATGAAAGATAATTTTAGCGCAACTTCATTTTATAACATTGCGCTAGAGCCCCAACGCTTTCTACAAGAATGTCTTATATGCGCATCGTTACAAAGAGAAACGAGACATTAATCCTTTAAAATATTACATTAAAATCTGAAAAATGAAAAATGTATACTCACTGGGTTGTTGTCTTGTTCGTCGTGGTGAAACAATCATAATTTTTTGTAGTAGGTATTTTATGTCTTTGTAGAATTTTAAGTGGTTCTTCAAGACTTTCTGCAAATTTCTAGAAAAATCAAATACATATGGATATGTGTACATGGAATGTTACTTTAATAAAATAAGGAATATTTTTCGGAAATGTTTACCTGAAATTCAAATGCGTAATTGTAATCATAGTTTTCAGCCATTTTAATTGCATTAATTAAGAATTATTTAAACCGTAAACAATTTCGCTCCTTTAGAGAATTTGGTTTTCTCGAGAAAATTTATGTATATGTATTAATTTCAGTTTAGTTTAGTTACACGTAAATCAAAATATTTTAGGTAACATAATTTGAATTCTCCTATTTCGATATTGCACGAAGTTGGTTAATCAATATCGTTTTTCCATTGACAAATTTACTAACCATCACTAACATTCACTGTTAAGAATTTATTTATGTATTTAATCAAGTACTCGTTAATAGGATGGCTGCTATATTAAATTTCTGTATCTGTTAAACTCATCATTCTTCTTCATTGCTAACAAATGTTATTTCTACCAACTACCAAACGAATTAAATTTTTTCTTATTAAAAAAGTGAGGTCATTTAGAAAGGAAAAAAAGGCAATTCATAGTTAGAAGTAAACTACACATTTAAAATTAATTTTCATTTCATCTTTTCATATCAATCAACGAAGGGTCATCCTTCAAAACGTTTGCAACGCTCAAAAAAAGACCGCAGAGATCTCCTAAGGAATATATTTTTTTCATCAGTGTCAAATTGCGAATCGATCTAGGCGTGTCTGCTCGTCCAACTAACAACACGCAACATGCACAGAGTGTCTCTATTTTCAAAACCAAAAACATTGACCTTTTTATTTGCCTGCTTCTATCCAATCCTTTTTCTTCGTTTTTTTTGTACACTGCATCACTTGCGTTACAGGATATATTAAGATTGTTGGGAAGTATACAATAACTGCTAGGAGTTGTAATGGACTCACCATTCATTATACCAATCGGTTTGGAATCACTTTTCGATCTAAGCTTTTCTGTCCTGCCACCCGTTTGATCTCTGTCTATATATGTCTGTGTTTAATCAACAAGTAGCAAATTTTGACGTATTTTGATAAAATTTGCTCCGGCGTTATGTTTCGTTTCAAAGACGAACGATATTCAGCATGCTTGGGATCGAACAACTCAGCACCTTATTTTGAAAAGCCGTTACATGAAAAATTATAAGGCGTTATGAATAACTGCGTTCAGGAAGGAGTTTCTTGGTATGTACTGGTAAATCGTGGCGAACTATAAAGTTTACCTTTGCTTAAGACAAAATTAGTGGGTGTAAATTCATATTTGTTTATTTTGTTTTATATTTTTTTTCAGGCTTTACTTAATTCTTTCAAGGAATTTGCATTATTTCATTCAGTTAAATGGGTGAAAAGGTTTTTTAAGCACTAACAAATTCTAAGAAATTTACGTTGAGTAATTGTCACCATAGGCTACGAATTGGAAAAAAAAATTTTTTTTTTCTTTCAGCAACTTTGCAGAATTTTTTTGAGTGGATATATAAGCTATTCTTATTGGCTCAGTTCTGTTAATCCCAACAAACAAACAAAAAAGAAGAAATTTGCGTTATTTCATTCGTTTATTGCGGGTGAAATCCAAGGCCATTCAAGTCGAAAACAATGTTTGACATCATATTAAAAACACTTCATTTAAATTTTTAGATTTTCGTCTGTTGCAAGTTTTTGAAACAAATAATCGATTAAAGAATGAATTTATATCGTTTCACCTTCCACTCCACATTACGTTGCGATTTCAACGAATCCATGTGGAATCATGCAGGGGTAGCAAAGAACTATCCACTATATATATATTGGAGGATCCCCCAAACATCATCAAGAGTTATCCCAATTTAGTAAACTTGTTTGCTTCCCAAAAATTTTACCATTTTTCATTGTCAGGCATAAAAAAGTGATTCTGAATCGATAGATAGAATAAAAGATGGATCTATCTGAAGCTCATCTGGGTGTTACATACGTCCGCACAAACTTAATACACTCCGTACTTCAAGTGGGGTAGAGTATAAAATTAAAAAAAAAGGGAAAAAATTTGCTTGTCCTATGGATAGTCCTGGCTGGTTTCTTTTTCATTTTTGTGAAATGCACCTGGACTCTTTTATAGTGCGTTTGTAGCAGTTTATGAGTTGTGAACAAAAAAACCAGCAATCACTGGTGTTTTCATTTAACGTGGCGCGGTCTCCTTCCATTTTCTACGCAAGAACTTTCATCCAATTTTTCGCCCAATTTGAATCGCATATTTTATCTTTTGCGACCGGAGGGATTTTCCACAGACAAACAGACAGGTGGGTATGCCTAGGTAATTTACGAATTTCGCACTGACTATGTATACGTATACTTTTTTATTGATCTTCTGAAGCTTCTTCATGGATATTGCAAAAATTTTGGCAAAATAAATTTGCCTCTGTTCGTTATGGGTACAGTTCGAATTCTTATTTTTGAATAAAGAAAAGCGTTTCCATTTCCAAGCCAACCTTAAGGGAATGATGAACATTTGCTGTAACCAGTGAGCTTAAAATTATTCGCAAAACGCGTCAAGAGCTACGAAAAATGTGTCAATGGGTGATTGGAAGTTTGAAACTAAATTTTCGCTTTGGATCGGAATTTTTTGAGTATCAGTGAACCGCGTCATTAATATTAATCGTCTTAATTTTGAGCAACTTTAAGACTTCCGACAGCACAAAGAGATTCGATCACAAAATTATCCGTAACGCAAAGGGCATTCCTAGACTCAATGCTGTTTTTACTTTTATGTTTACCTTGCTTTTTTCTATGTTTTTTTTTTTACTCCTATGCTTAGCTTGCTCTTTTCTATGTTATGTATGAATATTAAAAATAGAACGTTTGCGTAACGAAGTTTTTTTGAGATCCACACTACGCAGCCATTCTACGCCATTATGATTGTTATGAAAAGCGAGAGCTTTTTTATCGTATCTCACAATCGATAAAACATTGTGATCATATGGATGATATGAATGAAATAAGAAATTTTATAACTGTCTGTAAATATCGCCTTGTCGACGTAGCAGGATAGGTGTTGACAAAGAAGAGCGACTTTAATTTTTTATTTTGTCCGATTAATAAATGTAATAAATTAATGAAGCTAAATAACTACTTAGATACAAGAGGCAGGAAACAAAACATTAAATCAATATTAAAGCAAATCATCACGATGTGGGCCAAAAAACAAAGAAAGACAAGCTGTTGAAAGAGGAACTTTCGCGTGAGTAAAACCGAAATTAATGCAAAGGCCAAAAATAAGAGAATGATTAATTTAAAAAATATATTGTGCGTACAATTACTGGAGTGCAAAGGTTGTTTTTGTTGTAAAACTTTTTTTTTTTGGTTATTTCTTCTTTCTCGAAGTAATGAGTACTTAAAGAATAGTTTTTATGATAGTTTATGCAATTTTTAAAATACACACACAAGTATATAAATATATTGTCCACATATTCATGATAATTCGTCCCGCGCACAGGTAACTTCTTATTGTTTACAAATGTAATTAGAAAATTATTCAAATTTATGTAATTTGAAATGAAAGGCTACATTTGCACGCGAACTCAGTTATATTCAATGTAAGCACGGCATAGTTTGTATAAAATAGAAAAATGTATATGTAAGAGATAAATTAATCGTTATTATTATCGTTGATGTCACACATTTTTTTTTTTTTTTTTTTGTTAATTATTATATTTTGATAATTTCAGTGTAGGCAGTATAACAACCATCGTTTAATTTTTGATATTAAATCAACGCAGCAAAACGTCACCTCTCATGTTATAATTTAGACTAACTAAAGCGGTTATTATAGAAAATTTAAGAGCAAAAAAGCTGCAAGAGAAAACTTGCAAAGTCTTTCTGCACAACAGAGGAGCTTTTAGTTAAAGTTGAGGAAGTAGAGAGAAAAATGTGTGCTATGTATACAGGCAGAGACAATTGAAATACATTTTTTTACTCGTAAAGACACTCTTTTTACGTGTTATTTCAAAGAATCATTATTATAACAAAGTTTAAAAGAATCTTTATTTGATAGATCTTTATAGCATATGAAAAAGTTTGGCGATGGCTATTAAATGAGCTTTTATAAAAACTTTCAAGCAAATGTCATTTTCAAAATACTTCCTTTCCAGCTTACGAAAAACAGTACAGACGAGAAATTGTGCTATTAAGGGGACGTACAAGAGCCTTGAATCAGAATAAAATTTTGTTTCAATCATAAAATTAGGTGTCATAAAGACTGGTGCTATGGAAATTTCACCCAAGCTCCTTAGTCGGAGAAGAAAATTATGCGAGTTAACATTGTATATAAGCAGTTTAAAATTATATTAACTGGGTAAATAAATATGTTAAGCATAAATCGATATTCCTTTCGTTCATTACACATTTGTCCACCACGAACATTTCTTTACATTTTTAAACCGGATAGGCAATAGTACAATTTTGCGTCGATTTAATCACCTTATATCGATATATATATATTCCCAGTTAATGCCCACAGATCTTTTGAAAGGCCATATAGGATAGGATAGGATATTAACAATAAAGACCCAAAAATACTAAAGCTTACATAATATGTTGAAAACACACAACGACATTAGCCCTAGAATAAAATATGTATTACGTTAATATATAAGTATGAAATAGACATAAAATGGATATTACATCCACGTTTATTGAATGAGCTTTCAAGTAAACATTCCTAATAAGGTATAATATACACATTAATATGGCTTACCAAGCGCTCAAATTCATTTGCATCAATCGCGACCTGCAATCGTTGATATAGCTGTTCTAGGAGATATTGAAATTTCGTGTTTAAATTATTGCAAAAAATGCTTAAATTTTGCACCGCAACAGGGTCAATATTATCCCAATCTTGATGAGGTGGCGAAAATGAGGGACGCACCTCTAACAACCAATCAATGAAGTGTAAGCACTTGCTGTCGTATATCTTCCATGATGTGAACACAGATTGTTTTGCAGAAGATGTTGTCATTTACCAAAGTTAAAAGTTAGTATAGTTAAAATAATAGTGCAATATTCTAATTGATACGGGATAAAATGTCTCTTAATACATCATGAAGCTTTAAGGGGTTTTTTATACAAAGTTCATTTATTTGTTTTCAATTCGAAATTATGTTTCCTTCACATTTTGTTTTAAAAGAACATTCAGTTGATTTAAAACTACACTCGTTTTAAAATGTATTTTAATGAGTAAATACGCATCGTCTTATAAGAGAAATGGACCGTATCTACTCATTTTTAGAAAAATTACCTTAGCTTCTCTTAAGAGTCTTTTCCCAGATAAGTTAATATTCTCAATTTTTGCTTTTCGTTCCAAAGCTTCACCAAGCATCTTCTGTGAAATTACGGATTGCGTTGGTTGACATCGTTGCGAAAAAAATAAATTTGGTGCGTTTGTTATATATGTATTTTAAATAATGTTCAGTGTTTTAGGGAAGTTTGGTTTGCGTTGTTGTTCGGGACAAGGATGAGGCAGAGATACAAAATAATTAAAAAAAAATACAATTAGTGCTATTTTAACTACAATGAGTTAGTGCAGACTAAATTATTGTAATTTTAGCAAATGTGAACGTTACAAATCAAATCTACTGATACGAAATGAACAAAAATGTACACCTACAAATACGGAAAAATAGGGTGATCTTGCGTATAAATATATACACCTGTCAAGTTATCAAGAGTTATTTTAGTTGCACTAAATAATTCGAATTTTAACTCAATCTAAATTTTTCCTATACATTGTTCGACAAATGTCCTCTGTCACCATTTATCTTACATATGTAACAAGATGTAAATAAAGTCAAACAATAATATGCAAATATCACAGACGCACTTTATATGGTTCTTTTTGAAGCCGACAAATTTAGGCAACAGATCCACAACATATGTACATAAAAATATAGTAGTGTAAAAATATTCTAAAGCATTATAACGAACAATACCGTCACCATAACATATAAAAATATTTCCTAATAAAGAAGTTTCATATACTTTGTGCTTCAGGTTTTTTTTTTTAGAAAGAATTAATTAAATTTTTTAAAATCGAACGTGCAAAATTGCAGCCGATTTTTTTCAACAAAAGAAAAAAACTAAAAAATTTATAGTGAATAGACATAAACGGCCTTATGAACGTGTTGTCCAGAAAGACCGAGATGTTATTTTGCTTCTTCTAAAAAGAAGAAACACATTTTCATTATTACAACGTACTTACGTCTAGTTCGTACGCAGATGTTGCGGCAGGCATAGCAGATAATTTTTCAGTAGTGCCATCGACCCATGATTCCTCCACCTGTATACTTGAGTGAAGATTTTTCATCATAACGATCGCGTTTTCGCATGAACGCATTCTACAACAAAAGAACAACGAGACAGGCGGTCCTTATATAAACTGTATAGAAGTAGACTTTAAAAAAATATATTGAATATTGACAGTGATGAGCGCCTTATTATGCTTATAAGGCTTATACGTGTCGAAAGTAAACCATGCATGAAGAATAGTAGCAGGTATTTTGTAAAAAATGCATAGAGACGAATTAGGTAATGACGCTGTGATACATCACTAACCATATTAAAGTCAAGCCAATGTAAAATTCATAAATTCTATTTTTCAAATTTTTCATGAGTATGAGGCTTGGTCAATAATTAATATGATTTGTTAAGTTAAGTTACGAATGCATACTTCTTAATGCCAAAGACGGAATAAAAAAGCCAAGATATTAACGTGTCCTTCGAAAACATAACGTTTTCTTTGTGTATCAATGTGCATAATAGAGAAAATATAGACAGCATTTTTATATATTATAATGGCATTTTTACCACCATCTATAGTACGGGGAGTACTAAGTTTATGCGGATGTACTGAACACACGGAAGGACTTAAAATACAAATCTCCTTTTACTATAGTTCCGCTTGCCAAAAAGGAATAGAATGCGAGCACTTTTCCGATCACTCCCCCTATCAAAAAAATTTATTGTCGTAATTTCGCGACAGATATTGCCGTGTGATAGATCGACATATCAAGTTGGCGTAAAAATTTTGATTTTTAGTTCCATCTCATAATGCCATTCCTAAAACCGTAAGGTTTTATATGACCAAAAGATATAATTTGTTAATATTTGATAGTAAAAATTCGATAATAATAATTGAACGTAAAAAGTTTAGTTCACGTGAGTCTGTTTTTTGATCCCACCACGTGTAAACTTATGATGAGGTGCAAGTGTTCCTTAGTCGTATCACGAAAGTAAGTTAAGAATTGTAGCGGACTACATGGTGTAGGGTATGTAATGCTGCTATAATGTTTTTAATGGATTTGCAGAAAAACTTTTCCATACCTTTCTGCTAATTGATTACAAATAGCGCTCCAGCGTGTATTCAAGCGCTCTACATTCGAGTGCAAACGCTTTAGATCATTTAACACCTTACTCGGTACACCCATTCGCCCCAGTTGATCCGCTGCATCAGTCATTTTCTCCATATGTGGCTGCTGTTGCGTTACTGCTTCTTGTATTTGAGAGAGTTGTTTGAATATCATCTGCAAGCCTTCCGGTGTTGACGGCAAATCTCGGTGTCTACCTAGTTCATTTTCGATTTCTGATATAAAGTGCTCGTTATCATCCAATCCGATAAGCGATGTTTCAAGCAATTTTAAGCGATCTTTATGTAAATTACTCAAGGAACTTAATTCCTTCCATAAAACCATTAAACTGTCGAGGCTCTTTTTCAGAGCAGGCGTTTTAAGGACGATAGTGCGGAAGGTCTCTTGCAGGTGTTGCAATTCAGGATCCAATAAATGTAAGCGACGTTCGTAGTCGGAATGTATTTGCAGAACGTGATCCAAAGAATCCACATCGCGCGGTAAAGGAGCGCTTATATTTTGTTCCAATTCTCGCGCCATATCTTCCAATTTAGCCTTGACAGAAACGCACTCTTCGGTAAAGATGCGACTAGCTTTCTTGCTTTCCTCTGGGAATGAAGAAGATGTGAAGAGTTGCTTATAAAAATATTTTTAAACAGAAGCCTACCGCATCTTTTGCGACAAATAAACAAATGTTTCATAATTTAAAAGTATTTCGCTATATGAATGTAGTTCATTGGTTAATCTAAAAAGACTAAAACCAACAGCTCACTCTCGCTATATATTTATCTAAAGTTTTAATCACTATGATGTTGGGCGAAGGTGTCAATTAAAATTTAATTGCATCTATTTAAACAAAAACACAGTTATTGCATGACAAACAATATGTGAGAATATATATTCAATTCTTAAAAACGCATTTGAGCTCTTAAACTGTTCGTATAGGAACCATATTATAGCTTTTTTTCTTCTATGGTTGTAATTTGCAAAGCTCTCGTACTTAGCACGCTTAGGTGAAATTTGGCACAGACAAATCTATTCTCTCATACGAAACTTTTACTTGGCCCTTACTTGACAAGTTTTAATTTTTCAGTTTAATCTTATAGTTGTTGTGAACTCCAACCGGGAGAAATAACGATTTGCTAATCATATGAAATCATATTTGGAGTAAACCAGACACTAATAACTATGTTTATTTCAATTTGATGGTCTAATCGGCAGCAAATTGAGAGAGATAATATAATTTTGAAATGAACGCCCTTATTTAAAATTCAAAGATCAAGCTTTGAGTACGCTAACTACTTTTAAATTTAATCGAGAAATTAATACTCTCACCTTCGGCTCTAGCTCTCTTTTCAAATTCATCAAATAAACGATTCACCTCTTCCATTTCGCGGCTTAAACGACGAAGTTGAGGATCGTTAGGGTCACCTTCGCTCAGTAATTTGTCTGCATCATCATTTAAGGCGCGTCTAATAGCCGTACGTTGTTCAGGACCCATCGCCAAAAACTGATCAAAATCCCAACTTTTTACCACGCGTATGGTAGCGAAAATCATATTTTGGCGTAGACGTAAGTGCTTTTTCTGCCACAAATTAATCGAGCGATCAAATAAGCGTTTTAATCTTTCCGCAGCAGTAGTCGCTTCTTTATCTGGCGGAGGAATTAACAAGCAGGCACTCGGTATCGGGCCTTCGAAATCCTTCGATGTGCGCACCCTCCATTTTAATCGACCTGAATTGTCCAACAAAGTGCAAGTTTCACCCTTGTCTATTTGAATCTGTCCTTGCTGTTGGTAGGCGCAAATTGCTTGTACAGATCCCGGTTGACTCAGAGGCTGGCGTCGTTTTGTCAAAGGAACAATTGTTTGTGCTCTGTGTTGCAGGTTGGCTACAGTTTCTCCGAATGCATTAAATTCTTCACGGAGGTCTTGCATTCCTCTTAACAAGTTTTCACCTTGATCAAGTCCAAAATCCGATTGAGAGTATTTGTTGTTTAACGTTTCATCACGATTGATCAACCACTGTTCTGCATCCTTAATTTCCGCAAAAAATTGATGATATTCGGTTGCATGTTTAAGGTGCACTTCCAGACATAGAGTCAGTTGCAACAACCAAGCCCATTGCTGTTGCAAAACTGTCAAATGACTTTCAATACACTTCGAAGCAGGATGCTGCTGATTAAGTAAAGTCTCGCCGCGATCCAAAATGGTACCAAAATGTAATTCCCGCTTTTCCAAATCGGACATTAGGTTCTAAAAGAAGGTAATAAATGCCACTATCATTGAACATTGAAAAAGCTTTAAAAAAAAATGCGTTTTAGAAAAATCATACACTTATTTCAATCAACTTTCAAAATAACAATTAAAACGAGTATAAATAAAATAGTGAATCACGGCCCGCTACAAAACACCCTACATCATCCTGCCGTTATTCATATAGAAACTTTTTAAAATAAGGCGTTATACGAGAAGTGGTCAAAAAATTATACGATCCATTTACTTAACGTTTGTCCTTGGGCCAACAAAATAAATAAAGGAAAAGAATTTGTAAAAATATCTCAAAAATTGCGACCTGTAAAAAGAGCTGTAAAACAAGGAAAGCTCAGATTAGATGGTAATTCTACATCCACCGGTATGATAAAAGGAGGGACGCTAGTTCTAGTTCACGGACGTTTCGTACATCCGCATACTTATTATATCCTTACACCACAGGTAGTGTAAAGTGTAACAATAAGCATACCAAACCAATTGGCTTAATATAACTACTTTGCGTTGTAACACACCAAAAACCATGCCGATTTAGCGTATACTCGCTCAGCTTTTTACTTTGCTAAACCGATTTGGCATAACTTAGGTAAAGTTAATTTGTTCTGTCAAAGATTCTAAAACAATGTAAAGGCTTACTTTTTTAGAAACAATTATATAGGAAGAGGCCCTAAGAAGTGACCTACAAACGACAAACGACAGCAAATTTATGTGTCATAATAAAATGCTATAAAAATTCTTTCTTTTGCACTTTCTTAAAGCACTAGCATCTAAGTCCAAAATGTTTCAGATCGCAAACCTTCTTGACAACTCCCCATACAGCGCTGTATTTTGAGAAGTGTTTATGTTAAAAAGTGTGAGGAGTTTCGAATAAGATTACATTAGGCAAAGTGGTGGCGGGTATTTAAATGTCGCCCATGGCTGACTATAATGTTTTTACTTATTATTAAATATCAGGAGTACAAAGCTCTAAAAGATGTTTGAATCGTAGTAAAAAAAAGTGCCAAGAAGTTTTTTCCATACTTAATAAGTTCATAAACAAGTAAGTAATCCAATACGCTAGATACGACGCTTAAAATGTCTAGAACAAATTTCCTTTGATTGTATTCTTTTTCAGGTACTTGAGGATTCGAGAGCAATTAACCTTTTAAAGCTGTTAGCCGCGTTTTGCATTATATCTTTAATTCATATATATTGTGTACAACCTAAGTCATACACATACGTAAGTGTAAATATATATGTTGTAAGGAATCTTTCTTTCTTTCTTTCTTATGTTACTTTTTTCTCACCTCATCTCCATTACCAAACGTAAGCTTGCAATTACAAATTTGTTACAAGTCTTTCCACATATGACTATCTACTTACCTCGTAATATCTGTGAACTGAAGATAAATCCAAATTTTTATCAGCCCAATCTCTGCTGATTTCGATTTGTTCCTTTTCGTTTAGCCATTGTAGTTCGGCAGAAGCTTGAATTAGAAAGTGTTGCAGTGAATCCAAATCGGAAAGTCTTTTGGTAGACGTGCTTAAGAGCTCAGCGTAGACTTTCTGCAGTTGATTTAAGCGTTGTTGATACAAATGCAATTCGTCATTTATAAATTTGTTCTGATGCCGTTCATCATTGAGAATTTTCACGTGAAATTGATCAATGATCTTGTGCTCATACTGCTGACGGTCCAATTCTTCTTTTACAGACCCCAAATCAGATCCAAAATCCGCTGCTAGTAATTGTTTCTGCAAGAAAAAATTGAATATAAATAAAAAAACCTCTTTTTCTGGATAAAATAACTGTGACTAACAAGTTTGGTTTGGCACCATTCAATATGTTCTTGCAGATTCCTGAAGTGTTGGTTCGTTTCGATTTGACGCGACTCAACTACCATGCGTGTTTGGCGTGTTAGTGTGGTTTCATGGATGGGATATTTAAGACCCGATAATTTCTGTACAAGATTTGTGTGCAAGGTCGCACGCAACTGCGCCCATCTTTGATGCACTTTGTTTACTTTTTTATGTAAATCTTCGACAGTATTGTAGTGCCCTTCGCTTAACAAATGGCAGTCTTGATTCATATTTTGAATGGGCTCTTCCATGTGACGTAGTTCGAGCTCAAACGACTCTACAATGTTTTTGGCGTCTACGGGGTGAAGTCTGTCGATACGTACAGTCTCCTCAGAAATATGTGTTTCTATATCAGTTAATTTTACTTCAATATGCTTGATTTCTCGTTGAACTTTTTCAGCCAGTCGTTGCAAGCGTTCCAAACGTTCTATTTCTTGCTGCAAAATTATTTCACGATCCTGTAAAGCAGTTTGCATGCGATACCATGCTTTTTCGATTGCATCAGGACGGAGTTCGGGTGCTACGTCGATCTCGCCGATGCTCTCAAAGTAACGCTCGAGCTCCTTGTAGATTTGAACGAGCTTTAGTTTTTCTCGTTTGCGGGCGCTGACCTCTTCGCTGCGAAAGTGATGAAGGTCGTTAAGCAAACGTTTCAATTCAATAAGATTTGACGGAAAAGTGCGTTCTTGCAAGTAGGCGCTTTTTTCACGACACCAGTAAATATATTGTCGTGCAAGGTCGCGATATTCTTGAACTCGACGTTGAGATTCCACGTCAAATAAAGGATGAATTGATGGAGGTTCGGGAAATACATCGTACAACGAAGATATATATGTGATCAAAGACTTCTCATCTGGTTCATTCGTATCAACGTCTGCAAGAAAACATTTGGTTTACTTTTATTAATTTATCAAACGTTCTTTATTGAATAACCTTCCGGATCTAACAGCCGAGTGACACCATATTCTTTCTCGGCAATATAAAACGCATTTTCCAGACGTTCACTTGGGCGAATAGTTCTTGCTTTTCGCCAATCAAGCAAATCTGGTCGATTACGGTGAACAAGAGCTGAAAATGCTAAACCATCTCGCCATGATGTTGTGAAGTCATTCACCCGAACACCGGGATATCGAGAAGTAGAGCGACGTGCCCAAGAAAGAAGTGCCTCCCGTGCTGAAACATTGTCCTCCTTTCCAACTACAATATCGGATATCTGGTTCAATTGGAAAATAAACAAGACAAAAAGTCAGACAATTTTAGATTGAATTAAAAAGCTTTTATTTATAAATGAAATTTTTTTAATAAATCAAAAATTCTATCTTATCAAGAATACCTTCTTGGTTCGGGAAAATGTTGACTGCAAGCATGGAGCAAACACAAAATGCCCTTTGCTTTGAAGTCTAGCATGTGAGCTTTTAGTAAACCCTAATATATTCTCAAGACTTGAACGTTGTTCTTCAGCGCGGCCCGATTTGGTTACTTTTCGTATAATATTTGTAGTTATGCTAACTAGAACCTAATATCTCTGCAGAAATGAGTTTAGTTCTTGTCAGTTGTTGACAACCTCGTGGCTTAGGTGTAATAATATCTTTGTTGGTGCGTAAACGTACATAGTTTTTCGGAATTAGTTCATTTTCAACCGCTGAAGTCGGATTAATGAATTCAGTTGCTTTTGCTCTCAAAGGCTTTGACATATTCCCATCCCTAATTCCCTCAATGTTAGTAGCAATTGGCGGAACTGCTTCGGCAAGAAAGTCATTAGAAATTTTTTGGTTACGATTCATTATGAATAAGACTGCTTACTCTCGATATTTTGCTAAGCTTTTCTGCGAATTTGTTTCTTCTAAAATATCTCTTTGCATTCGGTTCTAAAATATATAAATACAATTAAGTTTATAAAGACCTATCTTAAAACAATATTCTCCACTTTATTTTCTTATTTCGTAACAAAAACTTCTAATAAACAAATAAATAGGGAAAAATATGATTTTTCATACGAAAATTAAAAATTAAAAGGCTACGGTGCTAAACGAAGGCAAACGGAGACCAATATAATATAAATGTAATAAAAAACACTCTTAATTTCATTTTCTTGATGCTTTAAACAAAGTAAATTCCATATGCAAGATCCATTCTTGCGATCTTCTCAAGACAAAAGGAATCCACGAGAGAAGTCTTGTAAAAACTCTTTTTCAAAAACCTATAACTAAATGAGCGTATATGTAGGAAGGAGAATAATATAAACCGGTTTAGTAATATAAACGTAAAGTGATCAGTCTGACGTCAGCATTTACAATAATACACACAAAATAATTTAATATTCTACAGAACCGAGATTTTTCAAAAGCAGAAGAAAACACGTACATATGTTAAGAGTACAGCACAATATTGCGACTTATTATTTTTAATTTAATTTATTTAAAATTAACGACAGCTCAACGATGACTAACGACGATCACTTCCACCAACAACGTTTTGATGTAGTCGGATGTAAGCCGACGAAAGCGATTACCGTAAACTTATGTGGACTTTAAATATATATATGTATATTAATTCAAGTAGATTATAATAGATAATTCACTGCCAACAGAACGGCAAAAGCAGAAATTCTCCCAACAAAAGCAATAAAACAAGACACTGTTCAATTGTAAAGCAAAACAAATACTGAGGATGTGTTTGGTTTGTGGCGAACTGCGAGCACTTGTCATAAAAGATATGTATATTACATAACACACATCCGTTTCATAAATTGCGGAAATTGTTGCAACGCTTCGAAACGTGAAAATATGGCGAGTAAGTGACAAGGAAAAAAACTTATTAAAAGACAAGTCACGTTGTGGAGCATTCGATAACTATATTCGCATGTTTCAAATGATATGCAAGAAGTTAGCACACCACTAATTTTCATAGCTGTAACAAAAATCCTTCTTTTCCGTTCGAATGAATTAGACATTGGTGTTGGCGGTAGTTTTAGAATCTATGTAAGCAGACAGTGTGTAGTGCGACTAAAAACATGAGTTTTCTCCGCTTCTAACCAATAATTAATATTATAAATTAATATTAAAATGAAAACAGTTACCTCAAATACATTCTTAGTGTTGAAAGCAAAGAATTGTAACGGAAAGCGTATCCTCTATACTTCATGTCCAACTATGAAGTTAGTATTATCTTTCCAAAGCAAAAAAACAAAGCAAAAAAAAGCAAATAAATTATATTCGGTCGTGACCAAGTCTTTTATACCCATCACGGTTATCTTAACAAGACAAAAAGAGAAAAAAAACTAAATATTCGTGTTCTATAATATGAAGTGGGCAATGCTAATTTTTCTTATCTACATAATAAAACCTTTTGTCGCATAGACGTAGGCAGGTCCGTTGAAAAGTTTAGCCCATTTCGAAATTCCTTGTCAAATTTGTAGACTGTACTACATAGTTGGACAGACCAACGGATGGGCAGACGGACGGGTTTAGACGCATTCCAAGTTTGAAACTGGCCAAACATTTGCTTTTTTATGGGGTTTTTGAACCTTTTTTCTGCGCCTTATGAAAGTATTCGAAAAAAATTTAATTTTGATAGACTATAATATTGGGCAGGCGTGGCTAACTGTTTTCATATTTGTACGGAAACTACAGCACCGCTCATAAAATATGCGTTCAAATTTTTGTATATTTATCTCTTATAGTTTCTGAGTAATGACCAATAAACCAATTTTTTATTCCTTTTGAAAAACAGAGGTGTTCTCCGTTTACGTGGCACTGTTGGCAAATCCTTCGACCGAATCGGCTCATTTTCAAAACCGACCTGCCTGCGCGAACTTGCAATGTTTCTGCCAAGCTTGAAGCCGTTAGTTTCATTTTTGCGAACAGAAAAATGTTTACAACAAACATTACACAGACGAACAGGAGGACATGTTTAAATCGATTCATAATTTGAAGCTGGTCAAGTAGCAATTTCTACGTCCGTTACACTTCGAATAGAGGGGAATAGTTTAACATCGTCTGAGAACAGTGACATGTTACTGTACTGAATGACACCAGGAAGATCGTCGATAAATAAAATAGATAGCAAGACCCCTAAACCCCAGCCTTACGGCATATCAGAAGAAACATCTATTGTTTTGGACTGGACAAATTTATACACTACTCTTTGAGTGCGATTAGATAAGTACGACGCAAAGGATTTGACTAAAAAAATCAGGAAATCAGATTTTTGACAGCTTCAAAAAAAGAAGTCATGATTAAGTCTATCAAATGCCTCACAAAAGTCTGTGTCACTTTGATTACATTAGGAAAAAAACAAAGAAATATAACGAGAACGTCTTAATAGATTAGTAACCGTAGATTTTCCGCAAGAAAATCCATGTTGGAATGAGGAAACCACTGAGTCAGCAGAACCGATTAAACGATGAATAACAAGCGACCCAATTATGCATAATGCATTGTCGCTTACAATTTTTATGAAGGGGTGCTAAATAGGTCGTTTTCTATAGTTTGAGAAATATAGCGGTGGAAACCAAAGAGCTTTGCAAGCGGCTTACAGCGAACAGTAGCGGAATTAAAAAGAATGCAAAATAGAATAGCAGTTTGCAGGGCAATAAAGGCTTCTTGTTCGTTAAGAACAAACGGATGAAAGATGGCAAATGATTTAGTTTTACATGGATAAACACGACCCTCATACACGTGATCTGAATACGTCTTTTTGAAAAAAAATGGCAAACATATTAGCTGTTGGTAGAGGTTCAGATGACTCCCTGGTACCATAACGCATATATGTTGGAAGCAATTGTGTTTTACGCTTCGATTCAACGAATCTTTAGGATTTCCTTTAAAATTGGCACGCATTTTATGCATATAATCGCTATAACGCCTTTTATTAACTACGAAATAGATATTTTTAGCACAAGTTTAATGACAAAAATTAACTGAGGACTTTTTTAAATTTCTTAAATAGCATGTTCTTTTCGTTAAGAATTCTGCTGAACTCGTCTGGATCATCACCAGATATAACATGGTCGGTGGCGATCCTGACGTCGCCGATTGAGATTGATAATGCGAATGATGGGACGAAATTACAGGTGATACCACGGACCACCATGAGGATCGCGTAATGGCTCCTAGTCAATAATGACAACCTTAGGTAGACAAGGTGCAGCACTATTGTTAAAAATATCTTCAACATCGTTAAATTTGTCGGTCAGCTTCTTCAGATGTTTGCGTAACTTCAAGATCGCACTTTGCGTAAGTTTGGAAGGCTTGTGGGATTCCACCTCTCTCTGACGACATTCCTTAGATAACCACCGTAAACCTTTTAACAAACAAATGAGATAATCAAATTGCGTACCACTACCTACTTGCCTATCTGCACACTTGTAATAAGTGACATTATCACACTCGCAACAAACATCGTCTGGTTTCTTCTACTTAGGATAGCAGCAGGTGCACTTCACAACAGGTATTATTAAGCAAAAATTTGCATTATTATAGGAAAATAAATAAAATAACTTTCCATATGGTAACTGAAAAACAAAGTTAGTCTTGTTTCTGTTATCGTTGTTACAAACGTAACTGAGAGCCTAGCGCTCCAAATATAAGGAAATCAAATTTGTTTGGGATCGTTTAGATTGCAGGGCATTTGTGTTCTTTTATCACGTTTATTAAAAACACAATTTACAAAATTAGAAGACTGTTTGCAAAAAATGGTTAGCAAGTTTAACAGGAACTTATTTGCAAATTACATTGCTTCAACATTTCACAACATTACACTCAACATACAAAGTAACAATGCTGTTGTCTCTACGCACCGTCCCTGAAAAGTCGGCACTATTACGGTAAAATATTCTTTCCCCATAAGGTGCCGTAGGAATTGTCGTCTTTATTAGATCTTGCTTGTCCGCTAGTATACAATTAAGCAATCTAGTCTGTTGCATAGTTCCGACATAATGGATCCATTGTTTCGTTAAATAGTATGCAAGTTGCAGTGGTATGTAAAAATTATCGAAAACACTACATGATTCCTCTTTCTTGGTATTACTTTGGCTAATCGTAGGACAACATTATAGGTGTTTCCCAAATCTTGGTCATGTGCTAGTTTATATCTTTTGTGTTCTTTTCCCGAGCACATATCGAAACAATATGAGACTACATAAAACAAATATTTTGTAGCCCCACTTGTGTCCCTTATTTGGCAAAAATTCTTTTAAGAAACGACCTATTTTTTTAAGCACATTTGTTCGTCTATTGAGAGAAGTTGGTCTATTAAAATAGATGAAAATGCTTCATTTAGGTGATCTGTTACAAGTCTTATCTTGTGCAAGGGATCGCGATTTAAATGATCTCTCGGAAGACGTTATTCTATAGATGTAATATATATATATATATATATATATATGAAAACGTCAGCTCGTAATTAATTAGACCTAAAATTATCCACCCAAATTGTAATTATATAATTATTAACACAACAATTACTTTAAAAAATATGAAAATAGCAATAAATGTATGTAATAGAACTTTGGATCATTATTATGTAATAAATAAGCAGTTAAAAATATTAAGGTAATAAATAAACGTTTCGCAAAATAACTTTAGCATTAGTGAACTTACATAAACCCGACTTTGCATATTGATATATTTTTATATCACAAAAAGATTACATTTTTCAGTTGCATTCAAAAACTATAAAATAGTTTTGGTAAAATTAAAAAAATTATGTAAAGGTTGCTACATAAAGGTTTTTATCAGGTTTTAAACATACGATGCAGATTTGCATCAATATGCATTCAAGAGTTGATCCACTTTTATTTTATAATTAAATCAGGCAAAGCATTGCAATCCTTTATTGTCTCTTATTACCTTGCTAACACCTTTGAAAATTTCGGATTCTATAAAAGTACGTATTTTTCTTGCGCAATTAATTATATTATCAAAACTTATATTAGCAAGTGATTTTCGTAACAATCAGTGTTACCTGTGGATTTCATTTTGCGTGGATGCGTTTAAAGTGCATGCGGAATGATTAGAAATAGCAAACATCCAAAAAATACCGTTCTGTCTGTATTGGCATTGTTCAGTACAATTTACCATCGAAAAATACAGGCCTGAACATCGTTTCGAAATTATCTTTTGTATATCGGCGTTGCGAATCGGCTTATTACGCAATAATGTAAAGACATTTTGATATCGAATGGCTTCCGTGCGGATGTCAGGTTCTTGTGAGGTTATATGAATTCGTTGGTTTACAGCAAATCATGTTCTACACCTGAAGACTCTTCATGAAAAATCTTATATTATGTAAGCTTAGACTTCACAACCCGTTTAACCCATTAAACGGGATGAACCCTATTTCCAACTAAAGTTGTTGCAGCGACAAATGATCGATAATACAATTCTATGTCTCATCCTTTCAAATAAATTTAACACTAGAGCTACGAGCGTTTTGCGTATAACTAACTACCTTTATCAAACTGGATCAACACTATCAACATTATCTTTGTGGAATGGCCACAGTCGCAGAAAGACGGCCGAAGAAGACAGGAAGCCGAAATTTTTATACAAAGATTCCTTGGTAGATTGAGAATTGAAAATTAATAAGTGGGGTCGACTGAGTAATATGGACTAAGTAATATAGGGGTGTCCTAGTAATATGGAATAAAATAACACAGATTAAAGATATTTTCGGAAAACTGTTGCACTGACATTACAAATCACCAGCGAAATCATTCAGATCGCTTTAATGATGCATTTATAATTAATAGAATTTTAATTTATTTCCAATCTACGTTGGAATAAATTGGATATAAGTTGGTCAAGTTAACCCCCCCGCGATAGCTTAGTTAACTATCGAAAGTCGGTTGAAATTAGCGATTTCCCTTCACTAGGTTCACTAGTCGGCTTTCATAAAAACTGAAACTTTATGAGCAATGCTTTATATAGATTATTGGACAAACGATTACTAATTTATAAATGGCCATTTTTTCCTACGCATACATTTATATGTATAAAAATGAGCGCTAAATGTTTACTTTGTTCAATGCCTCTGTATGGATTTATATAAAACAGTGGATGATGCAATATAAACAAATTTTTAAAGTAAGTTTTTTAAGGCTGTGTAGGTGTTTGCCGTTTCTTTTTAGTTATGTGTGTCAACAGACATTGTTTATAATAATCAGTCGCAGCTGCCGCCTACTTGCTATACTTGTTTGACAAGCAACCTAACCCATACACACTCCAAATATTAATAAACCAGTTAAATCAAACCAAGCACGGAATCAAATAACAGCAGAGATATATGAAAAACAACATGATTTGATTGAAAAACAAGTAAACGTAGGTGATACAACCGTGTGTTTGAAAATAAAAAGTTTTACTTTCATGTTCAGTCGGAATTATCTTCTCTTACCTAGAATAACGATTGGTCAGGCAAATGGATATGTGATGGTAATTACTTTTATTTCTACAAAAATCAGCGAAGAACGATTAACAAAAACATATTTGCCACGAAGCGAATCTTAAAAAGCCAACCGTCGAAACAAATTGTAAAAATATGTATTTTCGACAAATTGGAAAGCCTTTTTAAATGTAAATTGTTTCTATGTATTTAAGCTACAGGGAATGTTATGCAAGAGCTTTAGGCAGACACAACTTTAATTGTACCGATCGATTTAGAGTGATTTCTGTGTTCCACTTATAGGTCGCAATTTTTGAGGTTTTTTAACGAAATTTGGGATGCTGACATGACTATTTTTACAACCACTTACCATATAAATTCTTATCTTAAAAGTTGTATGACAAAAAATTGCAAATTTCAAAATGTCTTTGCAAAAGTCAGTGAATAAAAGTATAGTAGCATAATAAATTGATTTGAACGATTTGGAGACAACGGGTCTCCTATATAATCTTTGCTACAAAAAGTAAGCATTTATATGACAAAAAGTTTAATTTTTAAGATTTTGTGATACAAAAATGGGAACAAAGTCTAATTATAAGATTATTGACAAGAAGATTAATTTTGCTAAATATGGACCACATCATTTCACACTTTATGTTCTCTTCTTTAAAAGGGCTCAGATGAAAATTATGCTTTTAACTGGGAAAAGTGTATAGCTTTTGGTATCTTATCGCAAAAATAATTGAAGAATTATACGAGACGAAAGAGTGTAAGGTATTTAATAGTCGGCTATGTCGGATTACACTGTCTTTACTTATTTTAAATTGAATTTGCAGACTATTAGCGATCAATTTTCATTTTGGTGCGAAGTAGTTCCGTTAATCTAAAATCTAAGTCGGCAATAAACTTGGGAGTTTGAGAAGTCTCTCTTCGCTGGAAACATAATTTGAAAACGAATGCAAAGAACAAGGCAAATTTGAATACATATTTGATAATCGTGCATTTGAGCTCGTTACTTTTAAACCATTTAGTAATCCCTAAGATGTACAAAAAGTGAACTAGTCTGCAAATGCATTTTTTAGATATTGCAGCAACTTACTCTCTTTTATATGTAAACCTGTTTTGCAGTACTCACCTGGAAATGAAGAATAATTGTCCATATTAAACCCAGAGTCAACTTTGGGTTCCCATCAACAATATCTTCAGCTCGGATGTTAACCAGTTTTATTTTTTTGTAACGCAAAAAGTCGAGCGCCATCTGAGCGTTTTGCAACATGTGGAAACGCATTTTCCCCTTTTCTCGAGGCTTGAATAAACATTAAAATAAAGTGTTTTAGTTATGGTTGGTCAATCTTTTATTGGCTTAAAATCTTAACAGATATATAAAAAAAACTAAGGACACGCAATATGAAAAACAAAAACGTTGATGCAGAAGCTAGAACCTATAATTTATGTTTAAGTACTCTCTAGGCTATTCTGTTTTTAAACAATTTTAATTTTTACGTCTCTTGGGATCATTTCGACTCTCAAGCAGAATTTTAATAATATTGTTCCCATGGTATACTTATGAGCAGAATTTAAAAGTAGCGTGCGAAGACGACTTTAAATAGGAAAACAGACAATGATTGGGTCCCTTTTTTTAAATTATTTTTCGTTGAATCCTTTGCTTTTCCTGAGTAATAATTAGTTTTCAGTAATCCAATCAAAGTAGGACAAAATAATTGGACTCTAAAATATTTTTAAAATTTTAGATTTGATGATCGAAAGAGTTAGATAAAAAATCAGATAATACGTACCAAGTGTTCACCAGAGAGTACCTCCAGCAATGAAAGCAAATTGTGTCCATCACGCAAATCTTCGAACAAATCTTCCACTCGTCTGTTGGCCTATTTACAATTTTCCAAAAATGTACAGAAAAATTTGTTACAATAAGTTTTCAAAATATGTTTGAAACGATATAAAATAAGGAAATTAAAATATATACAATCCAATCATAAGGTAATAATGCTTTTAAAAAAAAATTAGAAAATATTTCATAATCCTGCATTCTTGTCTGGCGAAGCAAAGCTTCAATGTGAACGTTGACAAAACAGAAACGTGCAATTTTGCGTCACGCGCAAAGGAAAGCTTTGACGAATTAATTTGAAAACACCAGCAATTACAAATAAATTATTAAAAAATTAAATTTAAGTTCACAGCTGCGCAAAATATAAGCTATACGTATGTACATGTGCAGCGTACGCACACACATATATATATATATATTTATATATTTATGTAAAAAGGGTGCCCCAAAATTTTTGTAAGATTTGAATTAAATAGAAAGCAGAGTTATTTTTTTTAACTGCAATTTTTTTATGGAAGCATAATGTATATATGATGTCTGTGTAACCAAACGCAACTGTATATACATATGTGTACACCAATGTCTATATATAGCAGAATCGTTTCCGAGTTGGGTTAATGATTTTCATGAGGTGCATAGACATTGCTTAACTAAATTCAGTCATATCCTTCATTGATATACATCGGAAGCCTCACGCATTCTTGACTGGCATGCAACTATAAACTGACTTTTCCAATAAATGTTTAAGGACGTAATTACCACTGTTTCGTATTGGATAAAGTTGTGGTCCCTCCATGTGAAGGTTGTATGCTTATATTTTAAGCCACAATCTAAGTTATTTGACTGAAGTGTCGACAATATAGTTTTTTGAACTGGGAATAGTTCGAGTTGTATATCAAAAACGACGAAACGCAGTACAATTAAACTTCTGTTTAAATCGCAAGGCATTGCTATTCAATCGAGGCGGAAGATAAAAATGCGCACGATGCAATATCTATCGAGGTCGTTTCCGTTTGATATACTTGAGTGGTTCGATGCATTAGGAACTACTCCGCCAGAAACTGATGCAAATGGGTCAGTTATGAGAGGCGCAATGCTCATCATATGCAGCACTGAACTCGAATGTGCTATGCAATCACGGCTGTGCTGCATTCAACAGAAACCATTAAAACTTATTTCAATTGATGCCTTACTGTCTTTCGGAGCAGTGTCCCCATTCCCATAATGATACCAGAAGATGCGTCCTTACGTAAATTTAGGAAAAAAGTCTTTTGCTGTTCCTGCATGAAATTGATAGTTTGCCAAGAAGTGCAGGCTAGCGACGGACAATACTTCGAAAACAATACATTTCTTTAATATGCTTTCCGACAAAAACAAAAAAATTATAATAATTTTAATATCCGCGTACACTTAATACATGTCTTAATTAAACCGTCTGCTTGTTGTTTGCAATTTTACAAATATTTAAAATGATAATGATAAATATTGAAAATCATCCGATTAGATAGAGGGTTGAAAAGGATTAAATTGGCACAAATTAAAAATGTCTTTGTTGACGTCTCTGGAGGTTTTATAAACGGAAAGTTATGAGGTCCAACTGCACCTGAAGCTAAGTAAGAAGCAGCTAATAGGTTCGCGAAGCGCACAGAGTCAGTATTAGGTCAATTGATGGAAAAAATTCTTGTTAGTTTTGGTAAGCGCTGATGATGATGGGCTATGGAATTTCTGCTCATTTAATTATCATGATGTTTTTGGTTATAAAATTTGCACGGTTAATTACATCTATGTAATTAACAACGGTGACAGCGAATTAATGTACATCGAAGTAGTAAAAAAAAAAAAAACTTATTTGAAACATTAAACTTAGGGGCATTAATTTGTAACAGAAATCCACGTTCACTCGTGTATATAACTGAGCACCGAAAAAAGTCAATTTTACGTAAAAGACGATTAAATGTTTTTTTCGACTATTCTGATATTTTCGAGCACTGTAAGCTTATGAGTTCTTTCAAATAAGTAGAAATATAAATAAAATACTTAAGAAAAGCAAAATTACAAAGAAAAATTAAATAAAAGTCAGCCAACTTACTGGATATGGTGGGCAACAGGGACCGTCGTTTGTAATAACACAAACATGTAACATTGTATAAGTCTGAAATTTAATTGTACAAATTTACAAAATATACATTTAACGTATGTGTCTTTCAGTTAATGGGGTTCGTAGTAAAAAAGTGTGCAAATCGCAGAAACGAACGGACAAACAGATACAAAAAATTCGCTCAAAGCAAAGCGCGCTTCAATACGATTGCGTTTTGCAACGAAATTATATTTCCAAAAGAACGCCGATTAAGAATCTTGCTTTTTTGAAAGCCACAGACGAATATATTTTAACTTTTTGTTCCTTAAAAGTATAGACACTTTCGTACAAAAAAGTGTGTAGGTAAAATAAGTAACTGTTCATTGTTTGTCAGCAACTTATTCATACAGTAGCAGTGAACTTATTTATCTAGTTGTGTCTAAATACCTTCGCATATTTCCAATGCTGCTTAAAATTAGGAGTAAACGGGTAAACGTGTATTAGAATAGCGAAAATTTACAGTAATTAAATGAAATATAATAGAAAAAAATGTTAGTATAAGCCTGGCTTTTACACATGCGTAATGAAAAGTGAATGTTAGCTGACTGTTTAAATAAATTGTTGCCTTTTTCCATTGGTAACACCGAAATCTTTCTACCGACCGACTTATTTTGTCCATTTTTTACACGCACTTATCTGCGAGCGCTTTTAACGTTTCGTAAAATTTGTAGCCGATATCTTTATCTTTGCGAATGGAAGAATGCTTGCTACGGACATTACTTGGGTCGACAGACGGACATGTCTAGATATATTCTAAATTGGATACTGCCGAAGATTTTATAGGATCTCTCAAGCTTCCAACATTCTTCCGGCACGCAAAAACAAAGCCTTCGTTTAGCCTAAAGTTGAATTTTTGCTTATTACTCGGATCCTGCAACAAATAAAACGATAAAAATTTTCTCACGTATTCTTTGAGTGATTTCAAAATTGAAAAAATTTGACTAATTGCATTCTTAAAAAACTTTTTTTAAGTGTGTTTTACACCCAAAAGATGTGAAAAGCATGTACTTACATAGAATTTGCATATGCTCCCATCTTAATCGCCGAGGGCATAAATAACACTTAACAATTGGACCTAGGCTACTACCACTCCGCATCTCTTTCCTCATTTCTTTTCCACACGTTTAGGTGGGTATACCCTGGGTTATGCGTCATATTAAAAAGAAAAATCGTATTTGACGTTTGAAACTAAAATCTGGCGCGTTTTCCTACAGCCTTTTGAAATGTCTAATTCCAAAAGCAGATGGGAAAATATAATGACGTTGGCTCAGAGTTTAACGCCTATACAATGCAAGGGTTTTAAAAGTTATTCGAAAATGATTTGATTATTTGACTTTGGCTACAAATTCTCCCACATATTTAAAAATTATAATTAATTTCTAGCACTCTAAACACGTTTTATGTCCAAATGTACATTTTTCGCAAAATGATTTTTTTTGTATGGCTATACACTGGTACGTGAAACTCTAAATGCATTTTCTCAAAACATGATTACTTAAAATTTCTAAAATGCTCGTTCGCTTTTTTATAAACCGTACGTTATTTGCTAAGAAATACGAGCTTTTTTTTTGCCAAAAATGGAGACTTTCCGTTTAAATATTCGCTAACCACGTACAAAAATCAAAAACTTTAGAAGAATCCCTGCGTTTCTGTAGGGCTTGTCTGTAGTTACGTTTAGAATAAATGTCTGGGTTTTTTAAATCCAGATAACTTCTGATTGCGCTATTACCATTTTTTAACATTTTTCAAAATTAATTTATTTTTTAATGCTTAAATATATGCTTAGCTATTTTTATGTATGGAATTATTTGTAAAGAGATTGAAATTGGACGCTAAAATAGACAATAGCGTGCATCATGGACTACTGATTGTCAGATGATTAATTTCATTCTGTTCCGCCAGGAACTAACTGACAGCATTAGTACCCACAGTTGAAATAACGCGTCCAAAATTCATCAATAAAAAGGGTGTCGTGTTGCTTCCAGACTATCTCAGTCCAAGCACAACTTTGGTGACTGGGAAAAAATTGAGAGCTTATCGGGGACGTTTCATGTATTCATGTACATGGTATACATGGCAATATCACTCGTTGCAGAATTCTTTTAATACTAAATTTATGATGCCATTGTGTGAAAATCATACCAATATTGTGGCAGTATAATGGTTTTACAAGGAAAAAAGGTGAAAGATTATCGATCAAACTGGTATTTTTTAGGCTAATAAAGTTCTTTTAAAATATGAGAGAATTCGATTTCGCGGAAAACGTCATAAACTTATTTAATTTATTCTAATAATAAGATAGTTATATGTTTTTTTCTGGCTTTCAGTTCTCACATTCTACTATCACTTCATAATGTAGGCTTCAGATTGTTTTTTAAACACAAATAATATTTTTCGGGAAATTAGTATGTGAACTGATGATCTCAAATATTCTACCTAGCCACTTTCTACTTTTTCTCAACTATACATACCTTTTTAAGATGTTTATTAACCCACTTTGTAAAAGTCTTCTTCTGAATCGCATCTCGCTCGTCTAGAGAATAAAAAAAGTAAGATAGTTAAATTGCGTATAAGTATAGAACTTTTAATATGCAAATGCTCTTAGCAACAAACAAAAAACAACTAACGATACTACGTTTGCTTCAAGAAAAAACTAGTATGCCTACCTAAGTTAAATTCATTCTACTATTCATTATTTACAGATGCCAATGTTCCGATCGGGACTATTTCTTGAAGGTATATTTAGGTAACTTTGATTTATACATTTTAAAATGTAGGCACAAATTTTAAACTGTAAGTTAAATTTTATTCACCGCAATATTGCAAATATGTCTAAATCGTGATTGTTAAGATTTTTATAAATTAAATTGCACGTGTATAGATAAATGGATTTCTGCTTTCGTTGAATATTGGAAAATAAATAGAATTTCAAAACATGAGCTTTAAATAATTTTGTACATGACTTTGCACAGAAATAAGTCATATTGTCCATAGGCTGTAATATTGGAAATATGTATACTTCGAAAAGCTAAAAAATTAAAGTTATGACGTAGGCCCACCAAATTTTTGGCAAATTATTTGTTTGTTATAGTCCCCAAGCCATTCAACTCATGCCAATTTTCTCAATCACTTTTAATACCTGTTTTTTGGGGCGTTCTTGGAATGAGGAAGTTGATTCATATATAACTTCTGCTGACGACACTTTGTGCCGTCTTTTTTCGTGCGTTTATACGGTCCGTGTTCAACGCATAAAAAAAAACTTTTTAATTGTGCTGCGAAAACTATTTTTTACAGCTACACTCAAACCTGTTTTGTTTAATCAAAAGGAATTAAGGCAAATCTCAATCAAATACGGCCAAATTGAATTTTTCCTTGGGTGATTATCTGTACGCTGCTTGCGGGTTTACTTGTTAAATTAATATTTTAGGAAACATGATAAAGGAAACATTTAACATATTCTCAATTTTTTTTTAATTTCACCGTTTAGTATTCTCGGCATAAATTAAATTTAGAAGATTTTTAGCAAGTTTGTAAGCCAACTTTAGCTTGAAGCAAATTTGGTGTGTTCATTTTTACCATTTATGAACATAAGAAAATACCATTAGGGTATGATTTAAAATACACGGTCAGGCATTGAAAGCACCAACGTTGCTTTCGGAATAAGAAACTTCCCACAGAGAAGGCAAATAAAAAAAATGTTTCCCGTTTTTTTTTCAAGATATAATAACTTTGTATGTCTCAATTTAAGAACAATTTTTATAAACTTTAGAAAGTTTAGGCAGGATTAATGCCTATGTTTATCCATTTTTATTAGTGTTCGACCGAAAATCAGAATCAAAATCGTATATAATTACAATAAACTCGAAAATAAGAAGTCTAATCAATCTGCAATAAAATAAAACAGTTAATGAAATAAAGAGGATTTAATTACACAAAAGAAGCTTGGCATAATAATCAGCACACAATAAAGAGATAACAGGCAACGTTAGTGAATTATGAAATTTGAAAATTAAATATAGCATTTTCTGCATGCGTTGCTTCGCTTTAGTTTTTGAGTTACGTGAACGTAATTTATATGCAAAGTAAAAAAGTAGTGGACGGAAGGAACGGAAAAAGTTTGGAAATGGCCTTTTTCTTCGAAATACCGGTAACTTGACTTACATATATTATCCAAATTTTCTACAAAATATTCCCATATTGACATGGTACCTTTGAATTGAGTCAACGCATCTTCGTAACCGCCATGAGGAACAGCTGGCGACGACTTGGCCTTTTTAGCGGGGCAAGTATCGACATATTGATCAAGTGAAGTGACGCCTGGTAAAATGGAAATACGAGCAGGAGAGGTTGTGGTTGAATGCTGTTGCTGGCGACGATGCTGTGGTTGTTGGTAATGATAATGCCTGTTTTTATCTTTCCGTATTGTATTTAAAGACTCATATTGTCCTTCATTTGGATCAAAGCCCAATCGATCTTTGTAATAAGCATGTGAAGTCATGTTGCGATCGATAGTAAGGTATGAGTTGGGTAATTTTTCTTTTTAATAGTTTATTAACAAGTTGCCCTGTTATTTGTTTTCTTTTTTGTTTTCTAGTTTAGTGACTTTTACTCATTTTTAAATAGCAAAATTATATTTTTTGACACTTTTTCAATAAACTTTTTGCCACTAAGGGTTTGCTTTTTTTTTATAACAAACAATATATTTTGAAAATATTTTCCATTTAATACTATGATGGCACATTTGTTGTTCGTTCAGTTTACTTTGAATGATATATTCTAAAAATAGATTATTGTTTGCCACTCGTGCAACTTTTAATGAAAACACTGTCCGGGACTTTCGTGTTGTCGAAAAGTAATTGAAACGCGCATGTGACAATAGGAAGGCAACTTTAGGGTAAACGTGGTTTTATATATTTTAGTATCTTTTCAGTCAAGATGTAGTAGATGTATATCTACAAGAGCAAAACACGTAATAGCCGAACAATTACGGGAAGTTAGTGAACGTTCTAAACTAAATGGCGAACTGCCAGTCCCAATTTCAATTATTTTGAGTAGCCCTACTTACAAATTTGAGTCAAAATAGTTTTCACGAGCATATCGATTGCTTAAACAAAAATATGGTGGTATGTGTGTATGCATCGCATGCATGTAGTTAACAATTGTTCAAATGAAGCTTTGAATGGGAAATTATGCATAATGAGAGCTTATCCGAATAGGCGACATATATTTTTGCATGGATGCGTTCGCACAATTGTAAACCGTATAAGCGAATTATTTATCAGTCTGAAGATAGGCAGCCTATCTAGCTCACCATTTTTTAGAAATCATGAAGTTACAAAATTGAGCACGCACTACCGTTTTCATTAAGAGCTCAGGATTTTTGTGTAAAAAGCCTTTATTCAAAGTAACTAATTGCTTAACATTATTTTAATTGCGAAGAGGACGTAGCCAGTGATAGTTACTTTGACACCTACATGGCAAGTTTTACCGTGTTTTAATTGTTTATGTTAATTATTATTGCTGAAGAATGGTCGCTTTTGACAATCAATCACTTTCTGGCTTTCGACGACCGAACAAGGTAGTTTGGCTTATTAACGTATGTACTTTTGGTACTGATTATAGAAACCGAAATTACCACCTGAAAGATATAAAAACCGTACACTGGATCTATGAGCTGGGTCATACCATTTGCAATATCTGTTGTGTTACTAGTTCAGCCAAATGTAGTGAATACCAAAGATCCTTTATTTATTTACGTATTTATTTTTCGCAACTGTAGAAATAAATATTTTAATCAATAAAAATTAAAAACGATTCAATTCAATCTTTATAATCCAAAGTATTTCTTCGCTCGTATATATAAGAAAGGAAGGGCACGGCAAGCAACCCATGAATATTTTTCACAAAGGACATAAAAATTTTTCAAAATGCGCTTAAAAGAGCACAAAAATGTAAACTTCAAATCAATTCTTGCAACGGTACGAATTCAGATATTACATTTAACTTTCACTTTCGTTGTCCTCAGCATACGTTCTCGTTAAGGGCCGTACATATCTTTTTAAAACATTGCAGAGGGTTTATACGTGTACACTGTCAACGAGCAAAGGTTCAAAATTTTAATACATTGTAGTGAATAGACGTTACTATATATAAAATTCATTGCATAATTTCTATATACGACGTTTCATGCGTTGCACAATACTTTGCTCAACGTGCACTTTGATAAATTTACACTGTGTCTACTTTTCTGTTTTGTAAATTTGAACGAAATTCCTAACCCATTCCAGATCAAAAAGCATCGATTTATTCATAAATTTTTTGTTATAATATTAAGAAAACTATTGCAATGATAAAGATTTGCGGAATAATTTATAATTTACAATACACACGTATGACTTTTGCAAAGAGTATTATAGTATAACTTCCTTTATCAGCTGTTTTTCGGTTCATTCATGTTTTTCTATTTTATTTAAAAAATCAGATACTAAAAGATCTGTTTAAGAAAGCGAATATCGACGTACAGATGACAAATAAGCTTCGGAATAACCCGAAAATGTCTTCGGACTTTTTTTCTCTCTCTTAAACAAAAAAACAAACAAACAAACAAAACAAAATCGACATTGCGGTGCTGTCATCACATAACTAGCTAAGCAAATCTACTCGCTTGTCTCTCGGAGTAACAGCTAAACCACAAATATTTCTTTATTGGCTTTTTTAAATAATCGTACGGGGAACAAAATGAGTGTTATAATTTTTCTATGCATTGTTAAAAGCATGTTTTAAATACATATTATCAAAAAATAATTTTTTTCTTTTATCCCTAACGAAATAGTTGTTTCGTTACATTCATTGTCATTTGCTTTTAAATGCTGCCATTTTATTTAATTAAAAAGAGTTGCACCAACAGAAGGCTATGACAACCAACACACATTCACATATATACGCATGCATAGTAGCCTTATAAATAAATACCGAATAAAAGCAGTAAGTTTGTTAAATAATGTGCAGCACAAAAATTTCTTTAAAGTATCTTTCCACTAGTCAGCGAAATAAGAAAACCGTTTAGTATCGCACTTGATATTGAACTGAACTCGCATTCCATTTGACTTTTTATTCAAGCATATATTCTCTTAACTAAATAACTAAAAAAACCTCAAAACACCAACACAAGCTATCGTCAAATACAAGGCTACGCATACAACGCGTGTAGGAAGACTAGTTAATGAATTTGACGGTTAGGTGGTAGGTGGTACACAAAACCTTAAAAAGATAATAATTGAGCGAATGAAACACAAAGCAATAACTTGACTCTCCAAAGACTAATGGAAAAAAAGAGAAATCTAGAAAGGGGAAGAGTTAAAAAATATTCATACTGATTTGGTGATATCTATTTTAGATTATGAAACCTCAGTACCTAAGCCTCGCAGCTGGCATATACGCTAGTGTGGATAAGAATTAAGTTTTCTAAAAATCTTATGAATTTTTCCAGAATCTGTTAAATTTCGAGAAAAACAACGTATATGTTTTTTCAATATACAAACAAAAATGTGAAAAATTTGCGACATTGCGACAATATGGTGATCCCACAAAGCATCTTTTTCTGATTTACGTTTCGTAAATCTACTATGAATATCACGGCAGCAGATTTAAAAGTAGCCGTAGGCTTCTTAAACGTCGGGTGCAGATAATTTAAAGTAAATTGGAAATCGCAATTTCTCGGGTTTTGAAATATATTTTATTAATACTTGTTGGAACTTCCTAAAAAATATTTTCTGCTTGAAGCCATAGTTCGGTTGCAGTGAAACATGTGTTATTACTACAGAGGATCGTGTAACCACTATTATAACAAGCACTAAGCAATATAATTTTTTCAAAATTCAAGCTTAAACTTTATAAGCTAAATTCTCGGGGTACTAGGAACTTTTGTGCAAATTCTGAACCCAAGCCTGGGAAAGTACCAATTAAAAATTTCGGCTTGACAACACGTTCAACGCAGAATATTGTAACCATAATATATAACTTTTTTTTTCTTTTTTCTTGAGTGATATTGCAACAAAATGTCTATAACTCTGCAGGGCACTAGAGTTAATTTTTTTTCCTTGTTTTTATATGTTCTCAATCGGGTAAATACCCACGTTGCAAATTCTGAAAAAAGTGTGTTCTCTTCAAATTATACCAATTTGCACATGTTGAACTTTTCCTTGGAAAATATTATATAGTATATTTTTATCAAAGGAAGTCATTCGGCCACCTTGTAGCAAAAGTAGGTATAGATAAATTATCGGTGGAGTAAGTGTTATAAAATATGTTGGAATTTCACATTTACTCAATATAAAGATATTCTAACGACATCATCATAAAAAAATTTACTTTAAATGACGCAACCCAACCAATTCGTCATAATGAATACGCTATGAATATTTATTGATTTTCTTCTATTGTTATGCATAAGCAAAGTGTGCATGATAGTACTTTCTAAACAATATGCAAAAGTTGAAACATATAATGCAAAAAGTTCCAGATAATTTTTTAAACAAATTTCACATTGCATATGGTGTTATCTACATATTTTTAGAATTCCCTTATTTGCTTTATTTGGACGACGTATGCCAGGACCTCAGCTATCAGTTAAAACTGTCGATTTTTGGTTCGAAACGTTGCAAGCGAGACTGGAAGAAAGTCTTTTTGATTTCCTATGTAATTAAAATTTATATTTTTTATGAAATTTGATATGAGAAAGAGATTTCTTTTCTTCTAATTCTATTTTTTTACACAATCAATATAAATACGAGTTTTAGTAATTTGTTCTAACTTTCTATATAACGGAAATATAAATTTTGTTTATTGATTGTTACTGTTTGGTAATGCAATTTTTTTGTGTAACTAAAAAATGTATTGAAAGCATGAATTTTTTTTAATGCTTCTCACATTACTGATTTTCTTTGTAAGCAAACTTTGTGTTTTGCTCTTTGTGTAATCAGGTTGCTACTTTGGCCATCAAATATAAATTTTTGCTCTTATTCTTCAGGTTCTATTTTCTGGAAACCATTCTTTTAGGCCTTACGCATTTTGCCTTATTTGATAGATTTTCAAAAGTAGCTAATTTCTAATAGATTACAGCATAATCATGGGAATCTTGATATGGGAGGGAGCTCAGAACGCGAACCTTCGTGTTCTCAACGAGCATGTGCTTTGGGATCCGAAATTCGTTAACAAGAATTCACAAAACTTTATGATCATGTTCTCAGTGCATGCCAGTATGCCTCAAACGAGCATAAATCATAACAGTCGTACAATAGAACACCAGGATTGTAATTACTTTTATGTCAGATTTTTACAGTCCTCAACTTTATATACTGTCCCACTTACTGTAATGGTGTACAACTACTTTAAGCTTTCCGAAAAAAAAATCGATCAAAAAACTAAAATTAACATCCTCGGCAATTAGTTCTAGTAATCTTTAATTCCAATTCAAGTAGCATTTGATATGCTGATTGGGGCGTTAAAAAAAAGGAACGAATACTCATTTTTCTGCCAGTTTTTCGTAGGATCAAATCTCAACTGCTGCAGAGTTTTCAATACAGCTGATAGCCTTAGATG